TAAAGAAGCCGTTACGTTCTTGAATGACAAAGCTAACCAAACTCGATGATGACAGCGACTAAAAAGAGGTCTGGCTCGACTTCCTCCCAAAGAAAGGAATTAGCGTAATTTGACTGAAACTCTGGCGTAATAAAGAATCCAGCTGTTGATTACTGTTGGGCTTCCAGCCTTGTTTTTGGAGGAAAGCCTTCCGTCTCTCCCTGACAGAATCCCCGCCTCTGACCACTAGTAGCCTGTGCCCTTAAACCCTAGTTTTCTTGATAAACTTGGCTTTGGAGACAGACCGCCGTGTCTGGTAATGCTAGTTCCACCATTTACCAGTTCTCTGAAGTTAACTCGCTCTGAGCCTCCGTTTCCTTGTTGCAAGATGGGGTTAATAATAACTACCTCATCGATTCATTGTGAGTATTATGATGTAAGATGATGTAAGGGATGTTCCATGAACTGCGTAATTATTATTCAAATTATTATAAATACTTTCTCTCCCCCCACAACTGCTAATAAGCAGTTTGACTCAGAAGCATTGACATATTTATTTGCCTTCAGTCTCTACTTCAAGCATCATTTTCATCAGCTTCATACTAAATAGACTTAGAATCGCAGCCAGTGAGACCAAAGTCTCAAGAACACACCCCCATAGACTCTGGAAGGATTAGAGAGTGGACCGTGAAAGAGGAAGCCGTGAAGGAGATATGAAATAGAGGTGAACATTTATCTGATTTGAGGTGCAGAAAGCAGTTCTAAGCATAAATCAAGGGGAGAAATGAAAAGGACCGAAGGTGATAGATTTACCATTTCGAAATTTTAAGTTTCTGTTTGTTTTTGTAAAGAGCCCAAAAACGTTTTCTACATATTGCAGCATTGTAAAGTACCTCAAAGACAGTGAAAGGCACAGATAACCTGGAGGGGTGAGCTAAATAGAACACCTACTGATTTTTTCCCCCCATTTCAATGTCTTTCACAGCTTTTCCTGAAGTCCATCCCACCTCCACCATCATCATAATCTTAAAGCAAAGATTATTCTTAATCACAAAATAAGGCTGTCTTTAGTTGGCCTGATTATTTACATAGGTGCAGCAAGAGTGTAATTTACCATACAGGCCTCCTTAAAAATACTTTGCAAATCTTGAGTATTGAACAACTATCGTAGCCATATCTGGAAGTTTTGCTATTGAATGTCAGGTTAGACTTTGAAAAGCCTCTATTATTTGCTTTCCCAAGGCTAGGAAATGAAGCCCAAGAAACTGTCTCTGGCAGATTTCTCCCGCTGTACCTATAAATTTGAGTGAATTTTGAGGTCCCAAAATTTCTTCTGGAGGGTCTTCTTGAGGTCCTGAAAATTTCTTGAATTTCCTGGCCTGTCAGGAAGTGACCTTCCTAATACCTGTAAGGCTGGGATCCTGTAAGCTACGTACCAGGCCAGTTTCCCTGGGAGGGCATTGTCAGCATTGGCTCCATAAATACAGCCAACCTTTGGCACTTAAATGGCCAAAATGGCTTGCCATGCCGTACGTTGTTAAATGAGCATCCTTCTTAAAGGTTACACTTCGCATGAGGCCTTGGTTATACAATCAATGTGTCCAATTATATCCTAGTAAAAAGGAAGGAAGATCATTACTGAATCTAGTAGGAATTTCTCAATTCTGAGGGAGCCAGTGAAAATCAGATATTTTAACATTTTCAGTTTACAAAAGCAGAATCTACTAAATTGTTATGGGTTACATACAGGTTATCATTTAAGAAGAAAGAGAGACAGCTGCCTTTTAAATCCAGAAAAATAGACATGAAAACAACATCGATAATATTCCAAACGAATAACCAAAATAAATTTTCCCTCATCAGTTTCATTTAGTTCTACAAAGTTCATTCTTGTCCCGGTAGATCTTGGTCAGGAGTCTTATGAAGCTGTCTGCTTCTTGACCTAATAGAGTCCTGGAAATCCTGACTCAGCCCACTGGGGCGGTTTGAGAGTTGTCTAAGTAACGTCAATTTGGCTTTGAAGTGTTAATAGTTTGAAGAATTACATGTTAATTATACCTCAATAAAAAAAATATATGTTTAAAAAAATGGTGTGAAGAACCTGGTTCAGTCCTTTCTCCAGGAGGCTCTGAGACTGCCCTTCTTAATTGAAGACACAAACGCTCACCTTTAGCTTATAGTAGAACCTTCAAGCAAGCATCTTAATAAAACAAAAACTATCTGCAGAAGACAAAGCCTTCACGTGGCTGTGGTTGGTTCATTATCAAGAACTTTCAAATGTGAAAGGTCTGACAAGGGTTCATAAGAATAGGCAACTGACAAGAAAATTTGGATATTCCCATGGCATGCAAAACAAAGATAATAAAGACACTGTAAAACACAGAGAAAATGTCTCTAAGCATAGCGGTGAAGCCCATTTTCAAAGACATCAATAAAAGTTACATCTGATTTGTAAAAATGAGTAAACATAATTTTTATATAGGAATAGTCTTGAATATAACATATGATAATACTGAGATATAATATATATATGTGTGTGTGTGTGTATTTATATATGTAATGCCAAGAATATACTAGCTTTAAATCCAGAATAGCAAGTAAAAAGATTCAGTAAGTCTGAAATAGGGCCCAGGTGTCTGTGTTTTCTACAAACTGCAGAGGGAAGACCGACATAATTCTCCACTAAAAATTTACTGATCTAGAAGGTGGTAAATTCAAATTAAAAGCAAGGCTGTGGCCAAGTCAACATTTTGCGTGATATCTGAATTATGACTCATAACACTATACTGCTGTTGTCTGATGTGACCAGGCCAAGCACCACCGAGACTCTATATAAAAATGTCATGGACGGTAAGGGCATTGACCAATCTCCAGAGACTTCCCATAAAACATAATTTCTGAAATATTTATAATATTTTATTATAAATAAATTTTTATTATAAATAAGTCCAAATTTAACCTGAGGAAGGCTGAGCATCTCTTCTGGTTGCATAAGTCTTCTCATGAAATTTAGAATAGTAAGTAGACCAAATAAACCTAATTATTTCAAGCACTTCTCTTTTTATAAGGTGAAAGAACAAATCTTTGTGATTACTTTTCAGGGGCCCCTGGGGAATCTCAAAGATACTTTAGGTATAAAAGATATCCTGAAAGTTTTTTATATCCCACAAGTTGTATATATTTATTTATTATTAGGATCTGATTTGGGGAAAGCAAAAATCAAGAGGTTATTAAAGGAGATGTGGACACTTGGTTAAAAGAGGATCACGGTGCTGTAGAAACAATTCTCGGTTACTTATTTAGTCAAAGTGACAGGAAAACACTTAAAAATAGTATAGAAAGTAACTAGCTTGAAAAGAACCTCTTTCATAAGCATGAAACCTTTATAAATGAGCACATTCATTAACGTGACCAAAAGATAGAGCCTCACTATCGAATGCAAAAATAGGAAACAGAAATATATATACTTAAAATTATGCTCAATTACCCAGTGTTTGAGTATTTTATCTTGCTTAAAAATTATTTTTTATCTAATGATTATCCATTAAATAACTCAATTTAATATCAGCCCAAGGTTTTAAGTTATCTAAAGATCTTGAAAATTATCTTCAATCTGAGATATTATAAAACATAATTAATGTTTAAATAAAAATTTGTCAGAATAATGATTCCATTTTCTTGAACACAAATTTACATTTTTCATAGTTTTTAACATTATGTGTGAGTAATAATAGCTTATTTGATTAGTAGGTCTGTATAAATTTAGGAAAAACTAATCTCAGTAGAATAAAATGTGTATTTTTTTATGTAATATTAATAAATCTGAGAAGATATAGCTTTTGTTTTTTGTGGGTTTTTTTCCAATGAGGAAGATCTATGCCCAGGATCCAAACTGGGGAAGCCCCGGGCTGGCAAAGCAAAGCATGCAAAGTTAGCCACTCAGCCACAGGGCCAGCCCCACCAAAGACATTTCTAAAGAGTGTTTTGTGCAGAAGAGAATTCCTCTACTACCTATAAAACTCCAGTTTTAACTAAAGCACGTCCACTGAAGACCTCCGCTGGGCTATGCTTCATTAGCTTTGGATTGAATTACGTACTCTATATATTTGAAAATAATTTAAAAAATTAAATTTAAGTAGACCCTGATGGCTTTTCATTAATCCATCTTCCTATCTTTAATTACTCTGAATTAAATTTTTAGATTTTTGTTATTTTGATTATTTGATATTTCCTTCATATATTTGTGAAAAGAGAAGGATGAAACTGGATGATCACAGGAAACATTTTTACCCAAATTCTAAGTACTTGCAAAAAGCCTGGAGGGAAGGCCTCCCGATGCTTGAAGTGATAGCTTTACTAAGCCTCGGGGGGCTAAGCCTCTGGGGGCTCTCTGGCTTCACCCTTGGCTTGTCGGTCAGATGCTATTGCTGCCTACCTACCGTAAAAAGGGAAGCAGGTTGCTAAAGAGAAGATCTAAAAATCCTAAGTATTTATTGAGACCTTTTCCATTTCTAATCAAGAATAGGAAACAGCACTTTGGAGAGAAGAGAAAGCTATTTAGGAGCAGGAAGCTTCCAGTAGTTCAAACCTAGATGATTGAATTCACAGAATCTTCATAGACTGTTCCCGACAACCGGACATTGTCTTCTGCAAAGGAAAATCCTAGTTTAAACCCAATTAATCATAGATTTTTGAGACCTTTTAGGAAAAAAATCTGTTTTCAAAATGGAAGTGGGGAGGGATACACTTTAACAAACACAAGCGCTGTTACTACTTATTTAGCAATCCTGTAGTGTCAAGAGTTTCTTGGACTCTGTTGCTGAGCACGTTTTTAGTAAGGGCTACAACAAAGAGAGGAGGAATTGGGAAACCTAACAGCGAGAAGAGGAAAGATTTTCCAGGGAAAAAAATAAAAAGGAAGAGCGCAGTTTAAACTGGCCCTAAACTCGGGGAATTTATTATCCCAGAACAGATGAGCAGTTGTGTTTGTCTTCAATCAGCTCAATTAATTTCTTTTTCAGATTGATGATGATCCAGAATTTTTTAGTTCACCGGATAGAGAAACAAACCAACACATTCGTATCATCTATTCTTCAAGTGTTTTGAAAAAAGAGTGTGAAAAATCAAAAGGGGTCAGGAAATTCTTATTTCCATTTCATCATGCCAATTCTAACGACAAAAAAGGTATGTAATATATATTTCTTAAAATGACACAAGGAAAGATGCATTTCTTTATGAGACAAAAAAGATAACGTTCTTTGTTTCCTCCCCAGGTTTATTGAGGTATGATTGACAAGCAAAAATTGAGTGTATTTAAGGTGTACAGTGTGATGTTTTGATATACGTTTACACTGTGAAATGATCACCACAATCAGGCTAGTTAAGATATCCCTCATGTCACATAGTTACCTTTGTGTGTGTATGTGTGGTGAGAACACTTGAGATCCACTCTTTACAGACTTCAAGTATACAATACTTTGTTATTAACTACACTCATCATGCTGTACATTTTGGTCTCCAGAACTTATTTATCTTGTAACTGAAACTTCCTACCTTTTGACCAGCATCTATCTTTTCCCCTCACCCCCAGCCCTGGTAGAACCACCATCCTACTAGCTGTTACCATAAGTGCACCTTTTTTAGATTCAACGTAAGTGAGACCATGTAGTATTTGTCTTTCTGTGTCTGGTTTATTTCACTTAGCACAATGGCCTCCAGTTTCATCCATGTTGTCACAAATGGCAGGATTTTCTTCTTTTTTTAAGGCTGAATAATATTGCATCTTTTAAGGCTAAATAAAATTGCATTGCACACTCCCCATTTTCTTTATCCATTCAGCTGTTGCTGGACACTTAGGTTGTTTCCATGTCTTGGCTACTGTAAATAGTGCTGCTGTGAACATGGGAGTGAAGATAGCTGTTTGAGATAGTGATTTTATTTCCTTCAGATGCATACCCAGAAGTGGGATTGCTGGACCATATGGTACCTCTATTTTTAGTTTTTTGAGGAACCTCCATACTGTTTTCCCTAGTGGCTACACCAGTTTACGTTCCCACCAACAGTGTGCAAAGGATCCCCTTTCTCCTTCTCCACATCCCTGCCAACACTTGTTATCTTTTGACTTTTTGATAATGGCCATTCTAACAGGTGAGGTGATACCTCATTGCAGTTTTGATTTGCATTTCCCTGACAATTAGTGATATTGAGAAGATAATGTTCTTTACATTGAGGATGAGCTGACCAATCCATTGTCAGCAGCATAGTGCCTGGGCATAGTTTGCCATGAGTGAGGATATGTAGAAAGGAAGGAAAGAAAGAGAAGAGTAGAAAAGGATGGGAAGGTGGGAGGGGAAAGAAACGAAGAAAGAAAAAGAGAAAAAGAAGTGTGTTCACTAAATATTGCTTTAAAAAAAAGAATGAGTTAGAATCTGGATTCCATTCGGTCAGTTCTTGTTTGATTTTAATAACTTTATTAACAACTGTAGATTTTAATGAAAACCTTGGTGGAGAAAGTGCAGTGGGTAACCCAAAACATGGTGAACCTGGTTTTAGGAAAAGTGATAGTTGTCTCTGTGAACCTCGGACCTCCCACCAGCAAGGTGGGGCCACAAGGTCCTGCCCTGATGATTATGGATTATTATGGTTATTTACAGCATTCGGTCTTCACTCAAAAATATGTGTTGGGAATCTGTTCATCCAAGAACTATGATTCACACCTAGAGACAAAGATGAGAGTCATCTTTAGATCTTGTTCTCAGGGAGCTCAGCATCTGATGCAAGTGATTTTCCCATTGTGCCCGAGGAGATCGAGACAGTCCACGGAGGGGTGGGGTGGCGAGGGGAGGTTGGGGAGCCAGCGGCCCTGCGCTCACCTGGCTCAGCCAGAGCTGCCCTGCTTTTGTGTTTCACATTTCAGGCTTCACCTAAACCTTTCTTGAGAAGAAGTTTTAAAAATCCAAGGAGGAATGGCTAAAAATAGAAGAGAATATATAGGTCAGCATTACACTGTTTACTTTCATAGTCTTACCTTATATTTGTGTATGTGTCTGTGAAACGTGATGTATATAAAGGAGCCCTTTAAGTATGGATCCTGTCCTTGGGAATTGGTGCAAAGCAGAGGAAAAGAACATGGATTTAGGAACTCAGCTAAACCCAGATTTGAATCCTGGCTGTCACCTTTCCCGGCTGTGTGACAGTCTGCAAGTCATTCAGCCTTTGTGAGCCTCAGCTTCCTTGTCTCTACTGGTGGCTTCACAGGGTCATTATATTACATGAAATAACGTGGGCAGGGCTGGGCACACAGCAGGAAAGCAGTCTGCTGTTCTGATCGCATCCTTAGCGTAGAAGGAGAAGGGAAGAATGAGGTGCGAGGGGGTCCTGGGTAGGCCCGTCCACTTCTGACATCTAGCCCGTGTTGCTGGAGCAGCCCAGAGCAGCCCATTCATTCTTCTGGTCTTCACTTCACTGCTAAGTCAGACGCGGAGCCTCGTGGAGTACTGAATAGCTATGAAGTGTGAGAAAACTGTGTGGTGTTTGTACACGCTCACGGACGAGCCCCTTTCCACCCTGACGCTCTGTGGCATGGCAACTGTTGGTAGAAGTTGTAATTAGCAGCCGCTCCCCAGGTCTCTTGTCACACTAATTAGGACGTCTAACTGGCGTTGGTTGCCTTAAATGCATATCTATGCCTGTCCACAAGCATAGTTATTCTTGGCTTTTTTTTTCTCCCCACATGTATAAGAAGATAAAAACACACATTCAGGAAGCTAATTACAGGTGGAAGTTTTAAGAAATTTAAATTCCTAGAAACTTTGCCAATGGTGTGAAAAGCAGCAAGGGGTTTTAAAGAAAACTTACCTGGTGTTCATGCACATGGCTATTCATCGAATTAGCCCTTCTCCCCGACTGTTTACTTTCATCCTTGAAGGTACCATCTGACAGTTTTATGCAGGGACTTTTGAAAATACAGAACTGCCACTGTCACAAGGAGTCATACATAGTGCACATTCGAGGACAGAAACATCCCCCTTCCCAGCACACTGAGAGTGATGTGCTGTTCCACTTCTCCTCCAGGCTGCTTGTTCCCTGGGGCGGCTATCGCTGGAGACCCAGGGCCCTGGCGGTTCACCCCCTGGACATTCTGTAATATGTGGTCCTGAAGCAAGAGATAGGCTCAAACCTGCCTGACCGTCTGCTTGACAGTAGTCATTCCACAAGTCCTTAATGTTGATAATGATGATGTCACGCCTAGAGAAGCAGCACAGATTGACCACTGAGCACTTAAATAAAGAAAATTATTAGAACTTACTCCAAACCTGTTGGGTGGAAGCCTAGGGAATATTTGTGTCATGTGGCAACGGTGCTCACACTCCAGTCAGCAGAGGAAGCTCAGAAGTGCAGATCATTTATAGTGAAAATACTTAGTTTAATCACCACACTTTTAACAGGACTCCTAATTCGGCCTTACTTTTCTGGAGATGTACAGAAAAAGAGACTTTCTCTATAGTACACGTGTCCTTCGATGGGCCACAGTTAGCACTTTGAATTGTACTTTTTGTGTGTGGATGAAAGGGGATGGTTATTGAACTCTACATGAACAATGCTGATGGGAGCGGAGCGACAGTGGTCAACTGTGTTAGCAGCTAGAGCTCTAGAATGAACTGGGTTATTAGCCCCTGAGTGTCAGGTACATTCTAGAACAGCACTACCCAACAGAACTTTCTGCAGTGATGCACTTGTCCCATATCTAGTCTAATGACGTCTAATACAGTAGCCGTCCACCACCTGTGGCCATTGAGCCCTTGAGATGTGACTAGCGCTACTAATTGAATTTTAATTGAATTTAATTTCAATAGCCACAGATGGCTAGTGGCTACCAAATTGGTCATTGCAGCTCTAGTGTCATAGAAAAGACTTAATGGCTTTAGTGGTATCTTTTGAAACATTGGCATAATCCCCACACCAGAATGAAACATCATAATTTAATGAAATGTAAATGGAGCCTAAGTTTTGTACGTATATATATGGATAGATGGATGGATGTGTATATAGATAGAATTTTTATTTTAAACTTCAAAACTAAACATTTTCTGAAACCATTGATGCGGGGTAAAACTAAAACAACAAGGCGCTGTTGAATCTCTCAGGTTTAGTGGACAATTTTACATAAGCTTGGCAGTCTTCCCCCAGGAATAGGATTTTGACAAATATAATCAAACCTCTTGCAGTTAAGAAAGCAGATGCATCCTTTTTGAAGTGTCCCTTCCAAGAATGTTCCTCAGCTGACCGGCGCTATTGAACATGTCCTCAGATGTACATTGTGCTAAATGGCTGAAGGCCAGCAGACCTAAGCCCCTGAGGAAGCGTGTGAACTGCTGCGTGCCCACCAGAGAATATGCTGGCAGATAACTATTATCTACCATCTGTATTCAGGCTCTCCTGTCATTATTGCCTTGTACCTGCCAGACTCTGGTCATTGGCATCCAGGAGACAGACATTCCACCACGCGTCGGAATAGAGGTCAAGCTGTACTTCCTTTCTCAGTGGAGAGCACAGAGGATCCTCAGATGCTCCATACCATCGTTACAAATTAAAATCTAAAGCTAACATAAGGACAGGCGGGGACATTGACACTAAAGTTGTTTTGTGTCAACTGTTTAATGGCCTCACGCAAAAAAGAGAAAGTTCGAGTGTGGTTAGTGAACTTGGGTGAAATCGGGTTTCAGAGGCAACGCCATCCTCTGTACAGGTTGAGTCTTCCTCAGAGAGAGCGTCAGTGGTCTCCTCCCCGTTCCCAGCGTGCCAGCAGTGCTGTGCTCTTTGTTTCCATTTCTCCTCCAAGCTGCTTGTTCCCTGGGTTCGGTGTCGCTGGAGACCCAGGGCCCCTGTGGTTCCCCCCTATATCTTTTGTAATATGTGGTCCTGAAGCAAGAGATATTCTCAAACCTGTCTGACCCCTGGGCCACAAGTGCTAATACGTTCTCCTTAATTCCAGCGATAACCAAAGGCATTATTTGTATCGCCTTTAGCACCCACAGTGGTGAAATGCCTACTTGGAAGTGCCTATGATGACGGGGGTCTTAAACGCTTATGTATTAGTAAAGCTTCTTCGCTTGCAAGTAGCAAAACTGCTTCTGCCTATCTTAATGCCAAAGGGAATTTGTTGATGGATTTTTGGTGTCTCTTGGGGAATCAAAAGGGGAACAGAAGAGCCACATAGTGGAAACCAGAAAGCCAGGGGCCTTTCCAGGGCCTGAACAGCCTGTAGGGGACCTTCTTCTAGGGTCCAGCCAGCTCCAAAGACTCCTAGCTCTGCCTCTCAGGTCCAAATGTCACAAGCCTGGGGGGGCTACATTGATCGGCCCAGCTTAGATCCAAAGCCCACCCCTAGGCCCGTCAGCTCCGGCTAGGGCAGGGGTGGATCCAGATTTTGTGGGAACTGAAACTCATACAATTTGCAGAGCCCTTTTTAAGAAAAAGAGTTAAAATAGCAAATATGATGACTTCAGCACTCTGAAGAAACCTGGGCAGAAGAAATCACAAATATAAAGTACCTGTGGCTGCTCCCAAGAGGGGAAGTGAGACTGAAAAAAAATTGAAGTGGGAAGAGCCTGTGGTCTTAAATGTTTGTGGTTAGATAGCTTCCCTTTGCAGGTTTTACCAAAACATCTGACCACGTGAACACACTGGTAGGGCTTCTCCTGAGATATTGGAAGGATTCATGCAAGAGAAGGGCTCTGACGCTTCGTCATTAGTTTCGTGGAAGGAGCAATCTTTTTCTGTTTAAATATGGGGGCATCTGTGGTAGCTGTAGGAATAGGGCAGTTCCTTAAAGAAGGAAATGATGCGGGGTCGGTGAGCCGAGGAGTCAAAAGAAAGATTTCTTAGACTCTCAAGATCTGGCAGTAGTGCTCTTTTATTTAGAGAATAGTGTGGAATAGCATGGGGACAGGACCCATGGGCAGGCAGAGCTCCTGCTGCTGCCCCCACTGGCATGGGGACAGGACCCATGGGCAGGCAGAGCTCCTGCTGCTGCCCCCGCCGGCATGGGGACAGGACCCATGGCAAGGCAGAGCTGGTGTGTGGGGACAAGACCCATGGGCAGTCAGAGCTCCTGCTGCTGCCCCCGCTGGCATGGGGACAAGACCCATGGGCAGGCAGAGCTGGTGCGTGGGGACAAGACCCACGGGCAGTCAGAGCTCCTGCTGCTGCCCTGAGTTGAGGGTTAGGGCTAATTTTATAAGGCATGGGTACGTGACTTATTTTTACTGGAAAAAAGAAAAGATGATGTAAAAAGTCATTAAATGATTTCAGTGCAGATGGGGTCTGGTTATTGTGCGGTCATATAACTTTAGATACAAATCTGGCCATATAGATCGGCATGTAGGTGAGGATGCCCTGGGCTTCGCTCCCTCGGGCGGTCCTAATTCATACCATAAAAAAAGTCCACTGGGTCGTATAGTTTGGCATGTAGGCCAGGTCACCTTGGGCTTCTCTAGCTGGGGCAGCCTTAATCCACATCAGAAGGTGCTGGGAAGACAGTGACAGACGACCCCTACACCTTGACCCCTCCCACAGACCCCTCCTGCAGCTGCAGGTTCCCGCAGAACACTTTCTGTCATCAGCCCTTTTGCCCGAAATCCCCAGGTGGTTTCCCATTTCTGGTGAGCTCTGCTGGACGTCAAGGGGGCTGTGCTGACCTCTGACGCCTAGAGCAGAGCAAGCCCTAATGGCCCACACGCTCCATCTTTCTGTAGATCCCGTCCAGCATCGGCTTTGGCTCTCTCAAGTGAGAGTTCTTCGCTTGAAGCATGGAGGTGCCTTGGGCTCCTCTCAGACCCAGGGGAGTGAGGGAGAGGAGTTGCATAGAGCAGAGCCAAAGGAAATGGGTCCAGCTCAGTCAAAGGACACTTAAGATTTTGCAATTCATTTTATGCAAATTTTACCTAAAAAAAAAAAAAACGGGGTGGGGAAAAAAAAAGAGAAGGGAGAAGGAAAGGGAAGCAAGGAGCCAAGAAAGGAAGCAGCTAAGAGAGGCAGGGAAATCCCCAAAAGGAATTCTCTGTGGGTGCAAGAGGCTTCCCTCCTCCCCTCCTTGCTCCGGGGTTGGCCTGTGCATCGCTGACCATCATCTTCATCTGCAGGGATGGGGAGGTGGCGACAGGGAGCACCCGGTTTCCGTTGGAGGTTGGCAGTGGAGCTAACACTGACCCCTTGCAGTAGCTTATGGAAACATGTATTTGGTTCTTGTTCAGAATACTTATTAGATACTGTTATTGTTTATCCCTCCAAATAGACAAACAAAATACACTCACATAATGGGGAGGACATGACAGTTTTCTTGATGTGAGTTATGACTGGTTCTTTGATTTTTACTTTAAACTGAGCTAATGTTGATTGCCTACCTACACTCCCGGGCATCGCGTGAATCATTTTTATATGCATTGTCTCATTTTCATTCACAGAATTATCATCCTCAGTTTTACAGATAAAGATGACGAGGATTTTTAGGCTGGTTACTTTTAAAACTGCAGATGAGAAGCAGGCTCCGAGAAGCAGAGTTTGCTTGCCTTTTGTTGGGAAACATTTACATTTGTAAGGGGAACCCCCATCTGTAAAGATGCCTCCCTCTCTGTGCCAGGAAGAAGGGAGGTGACCTTATCTCTAGAAACTCTTAATCAATGCCAAAGGAAAGAACTTAAGTTGGTTACTGTCTGGCAACCTCGTGTAACTGATTTAGGGTGGTGGCTTCTGGCCTTTACTTAATCCGATTTGATTCTTATCTAAAAGTTGTGGGACCACCCAGTGGCCTGACCCCACCTGCACTAATACCATTTTAACTTTTTTACGTGTTCTTTCCTTTGTCTTGTAAAGAGATGGCTCACATACCTATGCCTTAAATTTAGCCTGACTCTCCACCCATCTTTGCAGCAGAAGCAGCTGCAGCACATCCGCCCGTGGGCCCTGTCCCCACGCAGCAGCCTGAGTGCCCATGGGTCCTGTCCCCATGCTATTCCACACTATTCTCTAAATAAAAGAGCACCACTGCCAGATCTTGAGAGTCCAAGAAATCTTTCTTTCAACTCCTTGGCTCACCGACCCCCGCACCAAAGACACTGAGGCCAGAGCAATAAAGTAACTTGTAAAGTGTGTTCCTTAGAAGAGTCTGAACTTTGGCATGTCTTTTAATGTCAAAGCCAAAGTCTTTTTTGTTCCATCATGCTACCCAGCTTATAATTCTGTACTTGTAGGTTTCTGTGAGAATTTATGAATACTCATCAAATCAGTTCGGTGACTACATCTTCTTCCCAAATTCAATCGAATTATGCAATTAATGACCAGCTAACTTTTTTTTTTCATTTTAGTCAAAGAAGAGAAGAATGGCCCCGTCTTTTGGAGAGGCAGAGCGCCTGCAAGTTTGAATGAAGCCCCTCACAGGTGCGATTGTAGTTTGGAGTATGTTTGTAACTATCTGACCAAATCTTATTTTACATTTTAATTTTTTTTTTAATGCTTTTTCTCTACAAATGGCTTTGGACCAAATTCTGTTCATCTCATATATGTAATAATGAAGAAGGTATTTTGAGAGACCTTTCTTTACATTCAAATCCAGGAAGTTAAATAGTAAAGTATAATTTTTCTCATTTCAACTGAAGATATAGATGTCACAATATAAATAAATGATTAAAATTAAATTCAAAAGCATGTATTGAGCTCTGGTTCTGTGTAGGGCACTATATTAGGCCCTGTACTGGCTACAAAGATGAGTACGGCATAGTTCCTATCCTTGAGAAGCTGATTCTAACAGGATATATGACATTTGCATGAATAAAGATAATACAAAGTACACACGCTACTTGTCATGAGTGTGAGTAAATTGTCAAAGAGATTTAAAGAGGGGAAAGATTACACTGAGTCATGGGGAGAAGTCAAGATGACAGATGACGGTTGGTAAAGGAGTAGTGCACATGGAGATGGAGATACTGTAGTTGGAAGGACTAGTAGAAGCTAAGATTGAGGCAGGAAAAGCGGAATGTGTCTCAGGAAAGGTGAGCAGTCTAGTGTGATTTGAAACTAGAACATGATCACCAGATGCAAGGTTAGAAAATAAAATTGGGCCCGTATTTTGGAGGGTCTTAAAAATCCAGATGAAGACTTTACATGTCATTTCACGGCATGTGAGAAAGCTATTGAAAGTTTTGAGCAGGAGAATGATATCATAAAAATCATTATTACAAAAAAATAATCTGACAGTTATGCTTAAAATGGATTGAAGTGGAAAAGACTGAAGATTGGTGGGAAGTAATGAGAATCTGAATTGGGCTAGTTGTCATGGGAATAAAGAAAAAGGGATGGATGGAAGAAACATTTCAGAGGCAGAATCTACAAGACTGGCAACTGATTGAACATGAGAGAGATGGAGAGAGAAACCACTGTAGTGTCAAGCCGGGGTGACTTCAAGGTGATGCCTTTCAGAGAATTAGGGAAGTCAGGAGGGATCAGCCCCAATATTGGTTTAGACAGGTGAAGCTTGAGGTCCTAGTGGGCCTCATTTGGTGGAGAACTTCATCGGGGAGTTGAAATTTCAGTCTGTATTGAGGGAGAGAAGTCTGGGTGTAAATTTAAAATGGAGTTTCCTAAGCTGCGTAACTCTGAGTATGATTCTATTACACACTTGAAGCATCTAGACATTGGAAGGGGGAGGGGAGCGCAGGATTCAAGAGCCTTGAGGCGATACATAGGCATGGGGAAAATGAATGTGGGCTCGGGCCTGAAAGACAGTCATGGCCTGGGGGAAATAGCCAAGTTAGGAAAACACTGCAGAGAGGAGAAGTGAGCTCCTTCCTGGGGAATATTCACAAACCTGCGGTGGACCACACTGTGCATAACTTAGGTTGCTGAGAAGGCCCTTTTCCCACTGTACTTTCTTTCATCCTCACCACCTCTCCCTGTTTGATCAAGATGACCTACGAGGTCTCTTCTGAATCTAAATTTCGTTGTTAAAACTTCCTTTCTCACCAAAAAAACCTTTTTTGGTTTAGGAAGATTCTTTTTTCTACTAGGAAAGCATCACCAGTTTGCTTTACAGAATTTTAACTTTACAGCCAACTATTCTGGACGAGAAAATTGGTAGAAAGTTGGCACAGTAACTGTACTTTTCTTAAAGGTTTTTAGAGTTTAAAGAGTTAGCTATAGAAATGTAGTAACTTTGTAGGGTGACAGATGGTAACTAGACTTATCGTGGTGATCATTTCGGAACATCTATAAATATAAAATTGCTATGATGTACACCTGAAATTAATAGGATATTGTATGTCAATTGTACTCCAGTAAAAACAAGAAAAACTAAGAGGTCTTGGAAAAAATAGTCTCTGTGTTCTTGTCAGGGTTCTCAAGGCTTTGGAGGTTCTGATTCTGTTTGGTGCTGAAACATCAGAAAAACTTACTGGCTAAGAGAGGATTGACTAGTAAGTGTTCCATTGCACATTGCAGACTTCGCTCAGGACACGCACAGGGACCCCTCTGGAATGCTGGTAACGGGGAGGGACCAGCGGCCTTGGGGGAGAATTCCTTCCCCTAGGGTTTCTCGATGGGTGCCATTAGCATTTTGGGTGGGACCATGCCTTGTCATGCAGAACAGCCCCACATGTTGTGGGACTCGAGCTTCCCAGGTTCTTGTCCACTAAATGCTAGCAGTGCTCCTCATTTATTGTGGCAACTAAAACAGAGCACCTCACATTTCCAGCAGAACCACCTCTGGGCTCTAGCTGTCAACACACTTGTCCAGTTTGCTTCCGTTTTCCCCTCTGGTGCCCTCCCTCCCTCTGGGCAGTCCTCTCTAGCCTTCCCTAGTAGGCATCCTGTTTTCCCTATGAAACTCCGTGCTTGGGTTTTTATTGACACTACAGTGTGACAACTTAATATAGTTTCACGCCACTTAACAATGGGGATGTGTTCTGAGAAGCACATTGTTAGGTGATTTTGTTGTGCGAACATCATGGGCTGTACTTCCGCAAACCTAGATGATGTAGCCTACTACACACCTAGGCCGCACGGTACCGATCTTGTGGGACCGCCGTCGTGCATGCAGTCCATTGTCGACCAAAGCGTCTTCACACGGTGCATGACTGTAACACCAATTTAAAATGGTTCCCCTTCAGTGGGATTTCCATTTTAAACAGGCACTAAAGCCAGAAGCTCTATTAGTAGAGTTTTGTTTTCGCGGCTTTATTGAGGTGTAATTGACATACCATAAACTGCAATATTTAAAGTCTTCAAGCAGATACATTTTGTCATATGGAAACATCCATGAAACCATCACCACAATAGATATCTTTCACCCCAGCCCCTCACTGTGGCCTGGGAACCTCTTCAAGGCAGTTCTTAGGTCTCACCTTGTTCGTTTCCCACTGTCTTATGTTGTCTGATGTCCAGTATCTTAAAAGCTGGGTTTTTTTTTGTATATTTTTCCAGTTTTTGGTTGTATCAGGTGGGAGGGTATAGCTAGTCCCTGTTACTCCATCTTGGCCTGAAGCAGAAGAAAACTAGTAGAATTTGAAGCTTATACCAGTATATGTGGAAGAGGAATTAGGCTAGAGTCAGGTCCTTCCTGGAAGTGTCAGATCCTTCACTTCCGGTGAAGTTTCCATAAAAGAGAGTCCATAAAACAGGGCAGCAAAAGGGGCGATCAGGGGACTCATTTACCCAGAATGTGTGCTTATTTGAAGTGGCTTGAAACTCTTTTTCCTTTGGTAGGCACAAATACATAGTTTTTGTGTAGTATGTATATATTTATTTGGGGGGGCTTGCACATATTTATTTGGGGGGGCTTGCACAGGGTGGGAGTGGGGGGCTATTGGGGATCCCAGGAGTGAGGGGCACAGAGGCCCCCTCCACTCGGCCTCTGCCTTCCAGAGCCTGCTGTTGTAAGCCCATTCAACTCACCAACTCCAGTTCCAGACTGTAATCATGAAGATAATCCTGAAGAAGGACCCTAGTTATCAAAGATTCGTGTGTGCCCACCGTCCTGCCTTTTACAAAGGATAAAGCCACACACTTTTAGAAAACTTCCTTGACAAAGCTGAGTCTCCACAACAAGGTTAGAGAGTCAGTTCAGCAGGACTCATTTCCCCGAGTGCTCCTGCTGTTCGAGCTTAGGTTGGCTACCGGGTCTTGAACTTGCTGGGATAAGCCAGAATCTAGGCCACCCGTTGCTGCTTCCTCATGCATTGTTACTGCTGTGAGATTAGTTTACTCTCTTAATGTGCTGGCTGGGCCCTGTGAGGAGACAGCCCGAAGCATCTGGAGGGTGGGAATAAAGCCGACCTGGGTAATGGCAGAAATCTGTGGTTTTTTTCAAGCCTCGCCTTGTATCAGGATCTCTCAAGGGCTCATGGAGAGTTCAGCCTCCTGGGCTCTACCCCCGACCACAGAATCCTAAGCTTTTAGGGATGGGACTCAGCAGTCTGTCTTTGGTAGCTCCCTAGATGATTCTGTTAGCTAGCTACCAAGGTTTAGGAGTTCCTGGGCTAGGCAGTCAATCTGCTCCTGGATTATTGAGGCTCCTGAGTTCTACACCCATAGTATGTCTCTAAGCCATCGACTTTTCTCTGTCTCCACTGCCAGTACCCCAGGACACGCCACTGTCATCTCTTACCTGGGCTTGTAACACCTCTAACTACCCTCCCCGCTTCCTTTCTTGGTACCTGCTGTGGTCTGAATGTTTATGTCCCTCTGAATTCATGTGTTGAGATCCTAACCCCAAAAGGTGATGGTATTAGGAGGTGGGGCCTTTGTGAGATGCTTTCATCATGAGAAGGAGCCCTCACGAATGGCATTAGTGTTATACAGGAGGCTCTAGAGACCATCGCTCCTTTCACCATGTGAAGACACAGCGAGGGCCACCAGCTGTGAACCAGGAAGAGGACCCTCACTAGATGGCGACCATGTTTGCGCCTGGTCTTGGACTTCCCGGTCTCCTGCACTGTTAATCTTCTGTTGTTTATAAGCTACCCAGTCTATGGCATTTTATTAGAATAGCCCAAACAGACTGAGACAGTACCTTTCCACCTGCACTTGACTGCATTATCCATCCTAAAGCCAAAGCGATCTTTTCCAAATGCCCCCTTCTTGCTTAAAGTCTTTCAGTGGCATCCCCCTTGCACAGGAAGGAAAAACTTTTTACAGATCTGGACAGCCCTGCGAGACCTGGCCTTGGCTTGTCTCTCAGCTTCATCTCACGTCGCTTCACCCCTTGCTCGCCACACTGGCTGCAGCACCTCCAGCTTTTCCCAGCTCAGGGCCTTTGAACTTCCTTTCCCCTCTTCACATTGCTTTTCCCATGCCTCTCTCTCTCATCCTTCAGGTCTTAGCTTGAATGCCCACATCCTAGGGAGGTCTTGCCTGATCACCCATCCTACAGTATATGCCATGCTCCAACAGACACACACGGGTTTTCTTTATCAGAGTACTCTGTTTACTTCATAGCACTTTCATGACTATAATTACATGCTCATTGTTTATTATCTGTCTTCCCATTAGAATGTAACCTCCTTGAGGGCAGGGACCTAGACATTCTTGTACATGGATACATCTCTGGTGCTTGGCCCAGTGCCTGGTACACAGTAGGTGCTTAATATTTGTTGAATGATAATCGTGTTCTTTACAACCTAGCCTGGCTTGGGGAGCACTATTGCATCTAAATCCAGGTAATTATAAACCATGTTTTGAAGGGCTTGCTGCCCTTCCATTGTTGCCCTGAGTTCATGGATTATTAGCTTCTGGGAGGAGGAATGTCTGCCTTGTTGTCGCGTGGCCCTCGTGACTGGAAGAACGGAGGGAGAGGCAGTGCTGGTGACGGCCGTGCACACGCTCTCAGACCCAGCAGTCTTCTTTTTCACAGTTTGCCATATAACGCCCCAATTTTTCGAGACTACTCTGATAGTCTTTGTTTTCTTCCAATTTGGAAAAGTAAAAGAGATTTCTAATTAATGTTTGCAGTAGTTGTTTTAGGTTATTATGGAGGTTAGAGCTCTGTTGAAAGTGGCAGAAGTCCAACTTCCGTTAAAAGGGGAATTTATTGGAATTACTGGGGCAACTCGTGTAATTCAACATTCATTCAACAGATGTGTATAGATATAGACATACATATAAATGCAAATGTAGATCTATCTATCCATTTAATGTGGCGTATTCTAATAGCTTGGCTCTATGTTCGTTTTAGATGTACAATGGTGAGCAAAATCAGCAAAGTTGGAAACCCAACCATAAGAGTGTAGGGATGGTTTGAATGAAGCTGGGATGTAGGCATAGCTGGGCTGGGGGCTTGAGTGCCAGAGGACTTTGTCTGTCTCCTCTGATGTTTGTGGATCCGCTTCATTTTCTCTCACTGAAGACCATGTCCTCCATGGGACAGCAAAGTCACTACCTGTCTTATATTCATTTTTTACAGCTCCCACCACCAGATAAGGGCTAACTCACACACTTTCTTGCATCAAATCTAGAAATCCTGGGAAGGTCTCTGATGCCTAGCTTGAATAAATGGCTTACTGCTGAAAAATATCCACATAGCCAAGAGGTCAGGGTCTTTAGAAACATGGCAGCTTCTGTGTGGTCCATGCGTGGAGGGTAGGGGTGATTTCCAAATAAAGTAGGGGAGCTAGGCCTGCTGTCCCAGAGTTGTCTAGCACTGTCATCTCCATAATTACACATGCGACTCAAAAGTGTAAACAGGCAGGCTAGGATAGAAGACACTAATTAGAGGGCTGAAGAACGTTATCATGAACAGAGCTTCGAAACACCTCGAGGGGTAGAGTTTTAGACCTAATGATGAGAAGCTGCAGGTCATAAGAAGGAGGCAGTTATCTTGGGACATCAGACTTGCATAAGTATGACTACTTTTCAGGGTAAGAGTAAACAACAGGCCTTTTAACACCTAAGGGATAGAAAACAGACTAGTGATCTCTGATAAGGAGATTCAGTATTTAGGGTTCTCCATCTTTAGTGTAGCTCTTCATTAGTGGATAATTCCATGCACTTACATGCATTTTACAGGAGAAAACCTAAGTAGATATTGCACCAAAATGTTCTTTTAGGAAAAGTGTATAATGACCTACTTAAGAGTCCCGTAAAGCTGGGGGGAGAAACAAGACTGCCTATTGCTTGCAAGTGTTAAAAAACGGAGGAAGCTTGAGATCAATAGAACACTTTTATAGCGCTGGCCCAGAGTAAGATTTGTCTAAATTTAATTGAGTTCACCTTGAGTGATCTAAGAGGAAATGAAATAGTGGCCGTGCTCAGCTGTGGGTCCAGGTCTGCTAGGCTCGTACCCACCAGGCTGGATTTTGATCTGAGTTCACATCTCTCTGTACCCTCTTCTGATATTTAGCTGATGAAAACTTAACAGCACATTTTCTAATTGCAGTGCATGGCAAATAGAGAGAAGCGCTTTTGGAGAAACCGATCTCTTTAATAAACAGAATTAGAGCTGACCAGCTTGGCACTTTCATGAAATGAGAATGTGCTGCACTTAATTGTACATTATTAGCAAAATAAAAGGAAAAAAACCAACTAACCAAGAAGGTGAACCTTATATTTTTCTATAAGAAGAAGCATTTCTTGGCAGAAAGTAGAAAAAGGGAGCTGTGTTATTCCTTTCTGCACGGTAGCCACACTGGCTGACTTCACATCCTGACCCTGTCTTGGGCTGTTTAACCTTCCTAGGCGTCCTTCCTCCTGCGTAGCATGGGGCTCACAATAGTATCTGTCCCACAGGGATGATATGTAAGGGCTAAGTCATGTACACGTAAAGTGCTTAACTTGTGTGTGGCACTTAGAGTCTTTATTAAAACTTAGCTCTTTGGGGCCAGCCTGGTGGCGTAGTGCTTGAGTTCACACACTCTGCTTCGGTAGCCCGGGGTTCGCGGATTCAGATCCTGGGTGCAGACCTAGCACCACTCATCAAGCCATGCTGTGGTGGCATCCCACATAGAAGAACTAGAGAGTTATAACCAGGATATACAGCTATGTACTGGGGCTTTAGGGAGAAAAAAAAAAGAGGAAGATTGGCAACAGATATTAGCTCAGAGCCAATCTTCCTCACCAAAAAAAGAAAAGAAAACAGCATACCTTAAAGTTAAAAAAAAAAGAAAAGAAAATGGGAGTAGCGGACACCTTTAAAAAAAAAACAGGGGCCTGCCCAGTGATGCAGCAGTTAAGTATGCACCTTCTGCTTCTGCGGCCTGGGGTTCACCAGTTTGAATCCTGGGTGCAGACATAGCACCACTAGGCAAAGCCACGCTGTGGCAGGCGTCCCACATATAAAGTAGAGGAAGATGGGCACGGATGTTAGCTCAGGGCCAGTCTTCCTCAGCAAAAAGAGGAGGATTGGCAGCAGTTAGCTCAGGGCTCATCTTCCTCAAGAAACAACCAACCAACCAACTTAGCTCTTTTGTTATTGCTGATCGTCAGTAAGTCAGGCACTAAGCAATGATCTGTTCAGCACCCTCAGAATCCCTGATTAAGCTTTGAGACTGAATGACTTTGCTCTTTTCTATTCTCACTAATAAATACTATAGTATTAAAAACATTAAAAAGTTGTGTAATAATTTGGCATGAGATACCATCTCCATTAATTTTCTAAGAATTTCTTATGCAATAGGTTGTGGTAGTTCTATTACAGGACCAAGTCCTGTGTTTATGTAAATATACTATGTGTGTAAGTATATGAATCCAGGATGTTTAGAAACTCAAGAGAAAGAGAAATACATATATGCTCTTGCACACAATTTGCTCATAGTTTATCATTATGAACCAATATTCACTGATCAATTACGCATTTATAAAAATACAAAAAAATATTTATTGAGCATTGGAGTGGAATCAATATTCATTTTTCTCCCCCTCACTCTATTCCACACTCTCTTCACTTCTTTTACTCCTACCTTACTCTTCCTTTTTCCTCCTCCCTTTCTCCCTTTATGGACGTGCTTGAAAATTTCCTTGAGAGATATACTCAGGAGCAGAATTGCTTTGTACATTCTATATATCAATCTGCTTATTGGTTTTAGACATTAAGAGTATCTGCTCCCATTTTGTCAGCTACCTATTAGCTTTGTCTATGTGGTGTCTTTTATTGAATAGAATTTTAATTTTGATGTAACAAAATAAATTAAGGTTTGATTCTGGTCAAAATGGAGTAGGCACACTTTACTTCTCCTCTGAATGCAAGTAAAAATCCTGAACAGAATGCATACAGTAGTTGATTGACTGATTTAAAAAAAAAATCATTCTGCACAGAATTTAAACAAGATAGAGTCAACAACAGTTACAAATTTTCCTCTAAAATCTGCTTTAGCTGAGTCACATGTATTTTGACACGTATTGCCATTCAGTTCTAAATATCTCTTAATTTCCTTTATTAGTTTCAGCAGTTTTATTATGATGCATCTGGTGTGGAATTCTTTGAGTTATTTTGTTTGGGATTCACTGAGTTTCTTAAATCTATGTTTGTCTTTTGCAAATTTGGAGAGTTTTCAGCCATTATTCCTTCAAATATTTTTTCTGCACTACACTTTCTCCTCTCCTTCTGGGACCCTGAAGACATGAATATTAGACCTTTTCATCTTGTCACACAATCCCCTGAGATTCTGTTCATTTTTTCCTTCAATCTTTATTCTCTCTGTTGTTCAGATTGGATAATTTCTATTCATCCATCTTCAAATTCAATGACTTTCCTCTGTCATCTCCATTGTTCTTATTGAGCCCATTCAGTGAATTTTTAAGTTTTTGGTTATTATAGGTATTTTTCCTCTTAAATTTCTATTTGGTCCCTTTTTATATCTTCTGTTTCTCTGCTGAGAGCTTCTGTCTTCCCATTTGTTTCAAAGGGGTTCACTCTTCTTCTTTGGAGCATGGTTATAATGGTTGCCTTGAAGTCTTTGATAATTCCAGTGTCTTTGTCATCTCAGTATTGAAATCTGCTAATTGTTTTTTTCTTCATAAGATATTGAGATTTTCCTGGCTCTTCAAATGTCAGGTAATTTTGGATTGCATCTGGGACATTTTGAATATTACGTTGTGTGACTCCGGGTCAGGTGCCCATGAAGAGTGTGGTACTGGACTCTGCCAGCCTCTCGGTTATTCTTTGTTATCTGAACGTTATTTCTCACTTTGAATTCTTCCACATAGATTTGCTTATATTTCACCAATTCTGCTTTAGTAGCATCTTCATGGGGGAATTTTTTGTTCAGGAGAGCTCAAATTCTAGATCTTGAGATCTGGGTCTATATAACTTTTTATAGAAGAATTATCGTTCTCTATTATTCTGCTGGTTTCTTGTGTTCTAGCATATTAATCTGACCATCTATTTCAGTCTGATAGGTTTTTAGCTTTCCATGAGAACTAAACTCTGCATTTTCATATTTATTTAACTTCTTTCTTGAGTTTCTTAAATCCATTATTTTTTCTAATTTACCATTTTTCTTCATTTCTTGATAGAGCCAATATGCTAGCATATGTACTTGTCATTCTTAGCTGAACTTGCACCTAACTGGTTTTTCTGAAGCTGTTCGATTTTGCCTGTTGCTTTTTGGACTGTGACTTCTAACCTGACATTTTCAGGCTCAGGGAATTTATCTGTCTTTGATGCAGAGGGAAAAAGGAGAAAAATGATTTGTGCATCCTTTTGATTTTGGAGTTCTCTTTCCACTTCTCTCACCTCTTCCTCATTTGTGGTTGGGCTCTCCCTGGAGATACACAATCAGCTCATTAGAAAAACATTTGAATTTTAGAAACTTAGTTCTGTAAATATGAAGTTGGCACATGCAAATTCAAGGTTCTAGAACTCTTGCTTTAATTGGACAAGTAAGGGTGGGCGTTATCGACTTTCAAATGAAGAGTACAGTTTAGTTTTATGAGTTAGCTTGCTTAACTGGTAAAGCTATAATGTTCATGGCATTTTCATTTATGCTGCCACAAAACAGAAATCGTTTTCAGAAACCCTTTTTAACTCTCCAAAATAATAGACTTTTCATACAACTGAGTAAATAACAGTCAGTTCAAGTGAGACTTTCTGTAACTACCTGAAATCATGTTGCTGAACTTTCACACAAAACGTTTTGCACCCAAAATGAGCATTTTAACATAATTTCCTAATATTATCTACCATAACCTATGCAGCAGTTATTTAATTCTCTTCAATTTCCATAGAGAAAGTTTTAGAAAGTATAATCTGTAAGAATAAAGAAAAGCTATCATTTTAAAGAGGATTGGAGTATGTGTGATCCATTTCTGGGCTAGACATATTCATTAACTTGGAAATCCTAGCAGGAGAGTCTTATGTTCTTAGCCACTTTGATAACACGGTTACATAATGCTAGAATCCCATGAAGAAATGGGGTAATGTAAGATAGTTACTGCGTGGCATTCAGGATTGTGAGTCATATACAGTCATTTGTTCAGTTGTATGTTTAAAATCTGGCCATGCCACGTGCTACTCCACAGAGCAAGAAGAGTGCGGCAAGGAGGGCGTGCTCTCAGCTCCCTTTCCAGGTCACACTCTGGGACCACAGCACCAGTGTGCACATCCTTAAGCCCAAGGGTTTGGCAAGGGGTGGCTGTTTAAGGGGAATGGAGTTTAGATGAGTGAACTGTGGTAAGCACTTGTGTGCATGTGCGAGTGCTTGCACACACATGCAAGGTCGGTCGGAGAGGGAGCTGAGGGTTAGAACTCAGAATCACGCATAGCACCGTTCAGATAATGAATGAATTTTATACCTGTTTAAAATTTAAGAACTAATAAAAACAAAGTGGCTTTCCACTTTCACGGAGGTTCCAATCTCACAAGGGAGACAAGATACCTTCATATAGAATCATAAACTGGCAATTCAAGGCAATCTAGGATGATATTAACAGCTAGCACCTATTGAGTGTTTCCAGCATCACAAACACAGTGCATGTATTTTTTTTTTTTTGCTGAGGAAGATTCGCCCTGAGCCAACGTCTGTGCCAGTCTTCCTCTATTTTGTACGTGGGTCACCCCTACAGCATGGCTGCCGACAAGTGGTGTAGGTCTGCACCCAGGAACCGAACCCAGGCTGCCCGAGCAGAGCACACCAAACTTAAGCTCTAGGCCACGGGGCCGGTCCCTGTATTTTCTTGTTTAATTCTCACAGAAACTCGATAAGATTGGTGCTGTTATTATTCCTATTTTAAAATTAGGAAATTAAGGCTTAGGTCAATCAAAGTCATATAACCACTGAGTGGCAGAGCCAGGATTGGAACTTAGATCTCATTATACTCTGCAGCTTGCTTCCCTGTGCGGCAGAGAGGAGAAATGGGTCACAGTGAGCTGGAGAGAACAGGGCAGGTGGGGGATGGAACGCAAGATCGACTCTGAAAAAAGTGATATTGGAAAAATCAGAAGAGGTATTAGCAAGAGATAGATCAAAGAAAACGTCAGTAAAAACCATCTCTCTCACAGCTCCATGTGAATAGTTTTCTCTTTATAGCGTCCATTAGAAATGCACCAGGAAAGAATAATCGGGTTTCAAAATTAGAATGAAAGGTCCTCTCAGTGGAAGTGTTGGGGCTCCGTGAAGGACAGGCACAATGCGTCAGATGAAAAAAGTGCTGCTTTAAATGACATTGGGGAGAGCTGTATTTCTGAAAGCAGTAAAGAATACTGAAGAACTGTGCCATACCTCCCCTCGGTCAGAGGGTACTAGCGAGTGAGAGTGAATCACGTCCTTCTCTTAACAAGCATTCCTTTCATGGGAGAACATTTACTTTCAGATGTTAACCTGCTGCATTTGGGCCACTGGGTTCTCTTTGTTCCTTGTTGTTAAATTATGAACGTGAAGTTTGACTCTAAGTTCTACCTGACAGGTACCGCCAGGAGAGCAGCACATTGTCCAGGGACTCACTCCTCTGTCCTCCTTCAGACCTCAAGAAGCCGTCCCTTCACGGCCAGCGGGCTTTGCGACCTTTACCCATCCCCTCCAGAAGGAGCCGTCAATTAACGTCAGCCGCTGGCAAGGCTGTCAGCGTGCCGTCTTGTACAGCAAACACAAAAGAACCCCAGGGACTTCGAGATCACGGAGACTCTCTAAGTGAGATCCCCTTCCAGTGCGATGGGAACGGACACGAGTCTCACTTAGGCAATTCCTCCCTGGCCTCCCCTTTCCAGAGCAACCCAAACCTGGAGAAGAAAGAGTCAGAACTTCATTTGTACATTATTTCCACAGCCTCATCCATATTTCTGCACTTAAAAAGTTCATGGAACAATTATATTATAGTAAGTGTCCCCATGAGTTAACCTTGATGTATTTATTGCTTTTTAGGGCGAAAGTGCCTTTCCTGCTCCCCCCCCCCATTTTGGAAATTTAGCCTTGGAATTTAATAATATCATGAAAGATAAAACCTACTGGACAATTAAGGGGATGATTTTCTTTAGGCTATTGCAACAGGAAAAGTGCTCATTAAGGGGTATCTTAGGGGCCGGCCCAGTGGTGCATCGGTTAAGTTCACACGTTCTGCTTCAGCGGCCTGGGGTTCACTGGTTTGGATCCCGGGTGCGGACATGGCACCGCTTGGCAAGCCATGCTGTGGTAGGCGTCCCACATATAAAGTGGAGGAAGATGGGCATGGATGTTAGCTCAGGGCCAATCTTCCTCAGCAAAAAGAGGAGGATTGGCAGCAGATGTTAGCTCAGGGCTAATCTTCCTCAAAAAAAAAGAAGAAAAGAAAAGAAAAAAAATAGGAGTGTCTTAAAGAAAAGGAGATGGGCCTGGGATTTTGTAGAGGCACGTAAGCAAGGGAGTCCGCAGTGCGTCTCCTGGGAATCTTGAGGAAGGACGCAGACAGGTCTTATCTCGGGATGTTTGTGAGCAGGGTGGCCTTTCGCAGTTAGCTGGGGGGATTTCTCAACCATTTCTGCTTTCAGAAAGCACCGAGCTCAGATAAAGTTCAACACTGTCAACATGTTTCTGTATTTCTTAGCTGCACCATTGAAAGGAGGCTGATGGGAGTCGTTGTCATAGGGCCAGATAATTGTATAGAGATCGCCTCGTCTAAGTCCTTCATTTTATAAATGAGGAAACCGAAGCACAAAAACTTGAAGTAACTTACTCAAGGTTATATAACAAATTTAGGGGCAGAGTCAGAACTCCCATTTGGGGATCTTTTTATTACACCAGGATCAGTTTAAAAATAAGTAACTTATTAAAAGCATAGTATGATCCTTTTCCGTTATCTTCAGTGACATATAATTTTGATTAGTGATCTTCCAGCGCAATACTATTAAGAAATATGAAAGGTTCTTTTCACTCCGAAGAAGCTAGGAAGCAGGGGGTTTTATAAATGGCTAAAAATGGTGAAAGATTGCGAGACAACTCTAATTTTTTTCTCATTGTACAGTTCAGAATGTTTAATGTTTAAATTAAATGTTAGACGTTTAAAATTCCTCTCTAAACTTTTAAATAGTTTTCTCCAAATTAAGACTGTAAATGAATCCGAAATAGAGGGAAAACCCAGCTCTATTAAAAGAAGGCTTTATGTGTTCTAATGGAAGCACTCAAACTGAATTGACTTTAAAAATCTATCTGAATCTTTCAGAATGGCTGTTTGTGCTCCCTGAAGGGACTGACTCATGATTTTAAGTTTGGCTTTTTACCTCTGCAGCAGAGGCATGTTTGGGGCAAGTCAGGCCATCTCAGGAAACTGAAAATAAATCATCTCCTCAATCAGTCAGACTTAGCTTGGTTGACTGATCTCTTGTGCCCTGAGATCTGGAATGATCTTTCATGTTAAGGTAGGGAAGTGCTCCTGGGAAAAGAACTGGACATATTAACTTTCAGGTAAAATGAACCCAAACGGTCCAGTTAGAAATGAGCACTCATCCTGATTTTAAGGGTTCCCAAAGAGTCGAGTCTTCTTCAGTAACCTATTTTATCTGTAACTTTCACCAAAAATAATTACATCTGGGTTGTTTAGCATCTCAAATTCTACAAAGATGAACTATGGCAATTCTTTGCGCTTTATATGGTGTGAAGATAGCCGCTAGAAACCTAAATAACTAAGGCATACCCCCAAATTAAAATTGTACATTTAAGGCAAGCATAAACATTTAGAGAGGGAAAAAAAGGCAATTTTTAAAAAGAGAGCAGTGACAAAAGTAGTAAGAAAAAGCACATACGTCCCCCACCACGCACCCACACAGCCACCACCAGCTCTGACGCATCAGGAATAAGACGGGTAAGCTTGTTTGCGGTTGTAAATCAGCAACATTTCAGAAATTCCTTCTGACCTGTCTGTTAAGCCTCAACATAAACAAAAGGTTATTTGGAGAATTTGCTGAACACCGCTTCCCCATTTATTTTGAGGACCAGGAATGAATGGGAAATGACAACATTACAGATTTAAGGGAGAAGAAACCTCATTAATAGGGGAATAGTTAAAATTATTGGATATCTATGCTATGGAATACCAGGTAATCCTTAAAAAGATTGAAGTAAATCCATATACACAGACGTGAAAAACTGTCAACCACATATGTATTAAGTGAAAAAAAACAGAGATTAATATATGTGATATAATTTAGCCAGTATTAAATATATATCATAAAAATATATCATTTTCTATGTAAGTATTATAAATGTATATGTTATAATTAATGTGTTTTTATATGCCTGAAAGGATGTAAACCAAATCGATAATAGTGAGGTACTTTGAACAATAGGATGGAAGAGTGAGGGAGAGACAGAGAACTTTTATCTTCTACTTTCTGCACTTCTGTAGTGTTTGATTTTTTTTTTTTTTTTCCAGGAAGATTAGCCCTGAGCTAACTGCTGCCAATCCTCCTCTTTTTGCTGAGGAAGACTGGCCCTGAGCTAACATCCATGCCTCATCTTCCTCTACTTTACATGTGGGATGCCTACCACAGCATGGCTTGCCAAGTGATGCCATGTCCACACCCGGGATCCGAACTGGGAACCCGGGCCGCCGAAGCAGAACGTGCACACTTAACCGCTGCGCCACTGGACCGGCCCCTGTACTGTTTGATTTTGAGAGACAATTTTATTTCATAATGAGCAAATGTTATGTTTAAAACTTTTAAAAAACTGCATAAGGAAAAAATCCTCTGTGGTGTTATCAAACTCTGGAATGAGTTACATAAACAAATCATGTACTATAGAAGGAAATTAAACAACAGATATATGATATTGACTAAAAGTAGGGGGAATTCACTTTTCCTACTTTTTCCTCTTTCAGAAAGCCACTCTTTTACAAGACCCCCTCTCCGTCAGTGAGCTCCGCCCTGCTGCGGGCAGTCAGAAGCCGTACAGGTGAGCAGTGACGATGCCACACAGCTGCGTGGGGACTGCTCTCCTCTCTGCCTCTCCTGACTCTGTGTCTTGCTGACCCTCACATTTATGCCTCTCCCTCAACTCTCTGCCCTGAATCGTAGGTCTGCAAACACAACTACCCACTGCACACCACCTCTGGGATGTCTTAGAGGAACCTTAAAGTCAGCATATTGAAAACATGACTCAGCATCTTCCTTCTGGGGCCTGACCTTCCTCCTGTGTTTCCTAACACAGGGCATGATGTCATTGTCTCCAGATGTCCTAAGCCGGAGTCCTGGATGTCACCCTTCCCTTCTCTCTCCCCTTCACCATCCCCTACATCCAGCCAATCACCGTGCGGTTACTGTGCTGCTTTGTTCTCTGGATAACATCCACTGTCCACTCCCATGTGCTCAGGCCCAGTGATCTCTGTTCCAGGCTCCTACAGTATTTTCCTAGCTGGGCTCTGACTTCACTCTTGCCCCCGTCTAGACTATTCTCCATGACAACAGAGGACTCTTTCAGAACCACAAATCTGGTCATGTAACTCTTCCCTTAAAGCCTTTGAATGGCTCCCCATTGCCCTTAGGAGAAGATGTAATCAGACGTGTACAATGATGCATCATAGAGAGCAAGCCGCCCCTGCCTCCCCCCGTGAAAGAAATAAACACGCACTGAACTCCATTAGGGCACTGATTCCTTACTCTGCAAATCAGCAAGAAATGGAGAGAATCAGGCTTTCTCCTGCCTTTCCTGCATGAACCGTGATCAGTTCAGAGTCACAGGTAGCCCGAGTTGAGGAAGGCAAATTCCGTTTTACAGAATGCCGCCTAATGAATGTGGAAGGTTTAACAGTATTAGGAAATAACCATTTTTGCAAATCCTAATGAAATGATAGATTCACGCAACAATCCTCAGTGGATGAAACCATTAGATAGAAAGGTGAAGCAGAATTGCAAAACGGAGGGGTGATTTTTAAATAACTAAACTCATTGATCGGTCTTAGCGTCACTTCAGTGGACCACCAGACTTTTGTGTCTCATTATTTGATGTAATATGACCACACAGCACCATCTGTGAAGTATCTTTGTTAAAACAATTAAACTTGAATCTGACTTAAAAGTGTGGGCATGTCAGCCTTAAAAAGGAATGAAATTCTGACACACGTGACAACATGGGTGAACCTTGAAGAAATTAAGCCTAATGAAATAAGCCAGAGATAAAGGACAAATATGGTATGATTCCACTTATAGGAGGCACCTACACTAGGCAAATTCATAGAAAGAGAAAGTAGAATAGAGATTACTGGGGGCTTGGGGAAGAGGCGAATGGGGAGTTAATGTTTAATGGGTACAGAGTTTCTGTTTAGAAAGATGAAAAAGTTCTGGAAACAGATAGTAGTGATGGTTGCACAATGTTGTGACTGTCCTTAATGCCACTGAATTTTACCCCTAAAAATGGTTACAATGGTAAATTTTATGTTACGTATATTTTATCTCAATTTAAAAATAGGTAGGGGAGTGTGTGTGTGTATGTAAGGGAATAGATAAAACAAGATTGGCAGGATGTTGAAAATTTTGGAAGCTGGGTGATGGGTATGTGGAGTTTCTTATACAACTTTCTCCATTTTTTTGTATATTTGAATATTCCCATAGTAAAAGTTTTTTAAAAACTTAAGATACATAACAAGCAAATACAACTATCTTATTTAAATTTTGATTTTAACAAACCAAATATAAAATAACATTTTTAAGACTATAAAGGTCCCTTGAGTATGGATTGGGTATTAGACAATACCAAAGAATTATTAATAAACTTATTGAGTGATGATGATTTTGTAAGAAAATGTTTGTTTTGAGATATGTTCTGAGGTATGTAGGAGTTAATGTTTGTGATTTCTTTTTTAAAAAGATGGTAGTACAAATAGCTTAGAATTTCTACATGTTTTCACATGTTCACTCTAAAAAAGTATCAGTTTTAATTTTGGTGCTTTATTTAAAGTGATTTTAAAGCTAATTGTATAATAAAATAGGCCCTAACTTTGTATATATGTGGCTTGAAATTTACCCCTAAAGGTAAGAAGGAGAGTTCTGCCACTATCTTTTTTTTTGAGGAAGATTAGCCCTGAGCTAACATCTGCTCCCAATCCTCCTCTTTTTGCTGAGGAAGATTGGCCCCGAGCTAACATCCATGCCCATCTTCCTCTAGTTTATATGTGGGGCGCCTGCCACAGCCTGGTTTGATAAGTGGTGCATAGATCCACACCCGGGTTCTGAACCTGTGAACCCCAGGCTGTCAAAGTGGAATGTGTGAACCTAACCACTGCACCACTGGGCTGGCCCCTCTGCCACTATCTTGACTCAGGAAAAGCATATTCCTTGCAAAGTTTATTCCTGAAGGCAACACATTTAAAATGCAGTGATTTAAAATGCACTGTGAGAGATGCAGTATATGCACAAGATATACAAGAAGTGGTCTCTGCCTGCAAGGCAGTTGTAAAGGAATAAATATTCTTTGGGTTTTCAAATTAGAATTCTGTCATAAATATGAGTTCTGTAACCTGACCGTTGTGAACATAGACACAGCACTTGTGAGATGATGTATGAAAAGGCTTTTCCAGCTATAAAGCATTATACAAATGTAAGGTATTATTTATATTAAATGTCTGGAAAAATGAAAAAATATAGGAAAAATAGGGCTTATCATTAGATCAAGACTCCTTCTTGCCACATTATTTGAATGAATTTATGTTTTGTAGCTGATGAAAATATAGAGTGTCTGTTAACATTAACATAAAATTTTCCCCTTATTTCTAAATTGAAGAATGGAGTCTTCTGGCCTGAGACTTTTCCTTATTTAAATTAGTCAAAGGAAGTCTGTCATCTATATAAAAGCAAATCTTCTCTGAACGTTCAAAGAAACTGTGATTATATATAACTTCTCTTTGGAAATGTAGACTGCTGAGTCTAACTTAAATTTATGATGTATATAAGACCTCAATTTATAGATGAATTGATTTTTAGGTGAAGAAATTAGTGTGCTTTTTCTTAATAAAATTTGTTTTAAAAATAATAGTTTCAGGGACCGGCCCGGTGGCGCAGTGGTTAAGTTTGCACGTTCCAAGAACCAAGATTCCATGTAGCATTATTGGGAATAAATGGCTGATATGAAGATTTGTGCAGGAAGTGGTAAAAATATTTCTATTTCAAGTCAGAAATTCTACGAAGTTGCCATCGACCTACACAGAACATGAAACATCTCTCCTACTGTTACTTTTTTCTCTCCTTTTCTGAATCACTAGCTGCGTGAGCTTGGCCGGGTTACTTAACCTCTCCACCATCCTGTAAATGGGGTAGTAATTCCCAGCTCATCCCCCTTACTGGGACTGAAGGAGCTGGTCTGTGAACACACCCAGGCCAGCGCCTGCCGCAGAGTCCACGCTCATTTAAGTGCAAGTTCTCACTGAGCACGTGGGAGAGGGAAACAGTATTTAACCCGATAACGTTTTTTCAAGGTGTTGAAAATCAGCCGAGGAGCCAGGACAAGTACACACATAACTACAGTGGAGTGAAATAGGATTAGTGTGATAGAAGAAGCGTGGGAAAGCGCCACGGGAGAGGGTCCCCATTCGCGTGGAGTGAGGGAAAGCTCCAAGGAGAAGCTGTACTCGTTTCAGCTAAGCCAGCTTTTCCTGAAGTGTGGAACACACCTGGGTCGGTGATGGGACGTGATTTCGTGTGGTGCTTTGCCATGGTGTGAAATGACTTTGAATTCCGTGGTGAAAAAGTGGTTCCCTTTTCCAACTCGTCTGATCTCGTTAGGGAGGACCCCTCGGCTGGTGCCAGCAGTGGCAGCTCCCTGACACGCTCCTCTGCTCTTTTGTCAGAGAGAGCGGACCTGAGACCCAGAATATGGAGCATCGACTTAGAATTTGGGTTGCGTTCAGGCTGTTTTTATAGTTACTCACTATTTATAGCAAACGATACTGTTTTTTCTCTGTAAAGTAGTGATACGAAGTTTTCTTTATAAATAACTCTTCTAGGCAAAAAAAAAAAAAAGTGAGTTAATTTAAAGAAAAAATATTAAGCAAATAACATTACATATGATTCCCGGATTGTGGTAAATGTAATGTGAACGAACTCTGAGCTAGACTACGAGAGACAGAAGTTTACAGGGCCTGTGAGAGTATTCCTGTTGTGCATGCAGCTTGGGTAAAGGGGCCTGGGCAAAAAGTATGTTTGCAGAGTAATAAATAGCTCAGTTGCGGGTAGCGAGTTTCATTACTGATGAGGAATAAAGCTAGAAGTACAAAACTGTATTAAAATTCCATTGGTAACCAAGTTTTACAAACCTGTCAATCATCGTCGATATCCCTTGGCTGCTGTTTCTTACCATTTTTTACGTGGAAAATTTTCTTGTCTTTCTGTAGATCTGAGGAGAAAATTAAGCACTTCAGTCAACTTAAATCTGAACTCTTTCTTAAAGACAATACTTTGAGGAAGATGCTCTGTCTAATTACGCAACTTAAATTAGCAGCCCAGAAAAACTTCATTCTGAAAAGGCTTTTCTGGAAAGTAGGTATTTTGTTTTATTTATAATCGTTAAAATTTGTTTCACTTGTTTATCAGATGCAGCATATCCAAGCATATAGTAAAATGTGAATAAATATTGTCTTGTATTCTGATGCTGTATTTTAAAATGTTGATTAAATTTAATGCAATTCTGTCTTGACACGTGAAATGTGATGTAATCAATAATGTATATCTGTGTGTGTTGGGGGATGGGAAGAGAGGAGAGCAGGAGCAGAAAGATGGTAGCTCACCTGGGTTGGGTTGGGTTGGCAGAGTGAAAGAAAAGAGAGAGAATCAGAGGGGAAGCTTCTGGCATTCGAGATGTACGAGTACAGACAATGAGATGATAAAGTAGATTTCAAGAAGTTTTACCATACAGGTTCCCCCACAATAAAAATATAATTAGGGGCTGGCCCAGTGGCTCGGTGGTTAAATTTGTGAGCTCCACTTCAGTGGCCCAGGGTTTGTGTGTTTGGATCCTGGGCATAGACCTACACACTGTTCATCAAGCCATGCTGTGGCAGGCATCCCACATACAAAATAGAGGAAGATGGGCACAGATGTTAGCTCAGGGACAATCTTCCTCAGCAAAAAGAGGAAGACTGGCAACAGTCGTTAGCTCAGGGCCAATCTTCCTCACCAAAAAATAAATAAATATATGATTTAAAAAATTACTTTTGAGTGTCAGACAGTTATGTTTAAAACGGTGAGTCCTGAGGAGTCAAAGCCACCTAGCTCTCACTCAGCAAGTTACGGGCTTGCTCTTCCTTAGTTTCACTGTCTGTTTCAGATGAAGGTATTGAGAAGACCAGGTGCGTGCTGGTGTGGTGCCCAGGTGAGGGGTGAGCCCTCCCTTGGGCCGAGCTCATGCTGATGGCTATATGCTGTATCCTGATTCTGGCCAGTGGTCTCATACATAGTTGCCACTGTTTTATTGAGCAGTGGTGAAGTGCACAGCCTCCCCAGCCGTACAAGACAGTCCTGGCCATTTCTAAGATTCCAAGTACTTCACATGTAGGATGTCCAACTAGCCTGGTTTGCCCAGAATAGGGTGACCAACTGTCCCAGTCTGCCTGGGCCTGAGGAAATTCCCAGGGCATGGGACTTTCTGTGCAAGAGCTAGGACAGTGCCAAGCAAATTGGGATGGTTGATCACTCTAATCAGAGGGCGCAGTGGCTGTAGAGAATAGTTTGTCAAGTGTCCCCAACATGGAGACAGGTGAGGAGGATGGAGTGCTGCATAGTCTACAATGCTTGTACTGGGTAGACGCTGTTAGGAAGACACTCCCCACCCCCAAGTTTTGACCCTAGAATTTCAGAGGGTTTTGCAAAATACAGGGACAGGCATCAAAATGATCAATCAAGACAGTTATGAAGATGGAAATGGAGCTCCGATGGAAAGCTAAAGGAATTGCTGTTATATCCACCTGGGATAGACCTCTCCAGTCCATCTCACAGATGGTGTCGGTTTACTCGGTGACCCTGCGTGTGTGGTGCTGCTTGCTCAGAAGGCTCTGCGGCTCTCCCTACCCAGCAACGCGCACACACCGTGGTGCTGGCATGTAAGGCGCTCCACTAACGACCTCTATCACAGATTGCAAACGCAGACAGGCATGGCCTTTGTTTCAGCAGGCGGGTTATCCGGAAGGGGCCAACATCCGCACGGGCGGGCCCTGGGGGAACTAACGCAGCTGTAGACGCTCACAGAGAAGGCACCGTGCCCAAGGGCGCTGAGAGTGTTCTCCACGTGGAGAAGGTGGAAGATGAAATGTCAGGGCACTGCAGCACGGGGGCATCACAGCCAGATGTCTGCACAAACATTTGGCACCAGGAACATCTGCTTGCTTTGGGATGGTCACCAAGGCCTTAATGGGATGTGGGGTTGGGGCGGTAGCAAGGGCGTCAGTGTTGCTGAGACTGAAGCCAGCGGCTGGGAGAGGACTGGCAAAGGACTGAGGACCAAAGAGGAAGTCCACTTGGACAGACCAGACATAGTCAGGGGACTGGACTTATGGCAGAGTCCCCGTAGGAGCCCGGTACCCCCGAGGGTTAGACTAGGAGGAAGAGGGTTGACGTTGAATACTGGAGTGTTGGTCTGCAGGTCGTCTCCAGTCTTAAAACAGGCCTGATGCAGGTGGCCTCGGCTGCAGAGCAAAGGAAGGAAGTAGAGAGAGGAGAAAGCTAGGCCTGACCCTCTCAGCCCCTACTGACCCCTGCCCACCGCTTTCCTCTAAGAGCTCGAGCCGCGTGGGATGACTTGACACCCTGTCCTTTCCAGCCCGCCATGTTTTCCCCTGCTGCCTGCTATCTCTAGGCTACTCCATCTTCCATTTTCTCCTGTTAAAATCCAACCCATTCTTCAAGGCTCATCTCAAATGCTATTTTTCTGCCTTTCCTGTTGTCCTCAGTGGGCCACTTTGGTACCTTCCTCTCTTTGATCTGTTATGGCAGTTCTGTGCCATAGAACTTTCTTGGATGTTTTATAATCTGCACTGTTCAATAAAGTGGCCACTAGCCACGTGTGGCTATCAAGCACTTGAATGTGGCTAGGGACTAAGGAAGTGAAATTTTATTTTATTCAGTTTTAATCCTTTTAAATGTAAACAGCCCCATGTGGCCAGTGGCCACCGTGTTGGGCAGAGCAGATCTATGGAACCCCACACGGCACTTTCTCTTCAACAATTCAGTAAACACTTATTGCATGCCTGGCTCTGTGCCAGGCGTGGTCATAGGCTCTAGAAATGCAAGCACGACTCAGACGCAGTTCCTACCCTCAAGAATTAGCGTGGATATTCTCCTTTGTACTATGGTTACTGGTGTTTTTCTTATGTCCCGTAATATTCTATAGCTTCTTCAGGATAGGCATGCGTCTTATTCCTCCTTGTGCTGGGCTCTCTGGAGAACGCAAGGTCGTGTGAAGCTCCTTTAGGAACCCACCCTGGGGTGGGGAGAGAGAGAGATATATATAATTTTATATATACAATTTCCTCCTTTTAAAATCAACTTTATGGAGTATAATTTTCTTTTAGACAATCTTTTAAAAAGTTTTATTACAAGTAAAATTTTAAATTATGAGAACACTTCTTCATAGGCTGAGTAAATTGTAAGCTTTAGGAGTACAGACACTGAGTCTGTTTGTTTTGCTCAAGATGTTATCTTATTACCTAGCATAGTACCTGCTATATAGCTGGCAGTCAAGCGTTCTGTGTTCAATGAATGAATGAGTGACTGAAAGAGTTCTCTATTCATGTTCCTTCCTAACCCTTTCTTTTTTCTCCGTGAGGTTTTTCTTTCTTCCATTTTTAATTGTGGTAAAATACACATAACGTAAAATTTACTATCTTAACCATTTTTAAGCATAGGGGTCAGAGGCCTTAAGTAAGTACATTCATATTATTGTGCAACCATCGCCACTATCCATCTCCAGAACTCTTTTCATATGCAAAACTGAACCTATACTCATTAAACTAAGTCCCCATTGTCCCCTCCCCCAGCCCCTGGCAACCACCATTCTTCCTTCTGCTTCTATGAGTTTGACTACTCTAAACATCTCGTGTAAGTGGAATCATACAGTATTTGTCTTTTTGTGACTGGCTTATTTCACTTAGCATAATATCTTCCACGTTCATCAATGTTGTAGCACAAGTCAGAATGTCCTTCTCTTTTAAGGCCGAATAATATTCCATTGTATGTATATACCACATTTTGCTTGTCCGTTCATCTATCCATAGACACTTCAGATAACAATGGACGTTATTCCATAGATAACAATAGACGTTATTCCATATTTGAATAACGCTATTGTGAACGTGGGTGTGCAAATATCTCTTTGTGACTTGCTTTCAATTCTCTTGGGAGTATACCCAGAAGTGGAATTGTTGGATCATATGATAGTTCTATTTTTAATTTTTTGAGGAATTGCCATGCTGTTTTCCACAGTGGCCGTAGTATTTTACATTCCCACCGGCAGTACATAAAGGTTCCGGTTTTTCCATGTCCTTGCCAATACTTGTTATTTACTGATTTTTTGATAGTAGCCATCTTAACAGGTGTGAGGTGATATCTCATAGTTTTGATTTGCATTTCCCTAATGATTAGTGAGGTTGAGCATTTTTTCATGCGCTTATCGGCCATTTGTATATCTTCTTTGGAGAAATTATTGGGGGTATAATTGGCATGTAATAAAAGGTACCCATTTTAAGAATAGAGTTTAAAGAGTTTTGACAGCTGTATATATCTGCACCACCACCACCCCAGTCAATATTTAGGACATTTCTGTCACCCCAGGGGCTACCATATGCCCTTGGGCAGGCAGTTTCCTCCCATCCGTGTCCTCAGACAACTGTTGTTGTGCTCTCTGTCACTAGAGATTCATCTTGCTTGTCCTGGAATTCCACTTACATGGAATTGTACACTATGCACTCCTTTGTGTCTGGCCTCTTTTGGCATATTTTTTTTTTTTAAGATTGGCACCTGAGCTAACAACTGTTGCCAATCTTTTCTCCTCCTCCTCCCCCTCCTTCTCCTCCTCCCCCCCAAAGCCCCCCCGGTACATAGTTGTGTATTCTAGTTGTGAGTGCCTCTGGTTGTGCTATGTGCGACGCCGCCTCAGCATGGCCTGATGAGTGGTGCCATGTCTGCACCCAGGATCTGAACTGGTGAAGTCTCGGGCCGCTGAAGCAGAGCGCGCGAACTTAACCACTTGGCCACAGGGCCGTCCCCAGGGCATAGTATTTTTGAGATTCTTTCATGTTGATGAACATAGGCGGGAGATATTTTAAGAGTGAAAATGCCTGAAGCACTGAGCAGGTGGGAGATCATAACCATAACTGATATTCCTGAAGCTCTTGTGATATGCTGCGTACTGCTCAGGCTCTAAAGATACTATCTTATTTAATCCTAACATCAACCCCATGAGGTGATGTTATTAAACCCATTTTAGAGATGAAGAAACTGAGTCACAGATGTGTAAGTAATTTGCCAAATGTCATACAGCTAACCAGCAGCAGAGCTGGGATTGGAACTCAGAGAAGCTGGCTCCAGAGTCAGTGTGTAAAGCCACCACATTCTGCTGATTTATAGGGCGCTGGATAAACCCCGGCACTTCTGAGGGCCTGGGGTACATGCTGCCCCTCCTCCTGTCCCTCTCTCCACTGCCATCCTCAGCCTCTTCTCATGCTGTGTCACCTAAGGAAGACCACACGTGTACCTGTCCAAACAGAGTCTAAGTTGCAAAACTCCTGGGAAAAAAATGAACGCTGGAGGCATAGAACAAAAGCCATCACATTATATTTCTCATTAGTACCGACTTGCCTGATTTCACAGGCCAGTGCTGACTCTCATGCTTAATTTATCTCATGAGACTGGATAGGAACACACAAAAAATTGGTTCCCCCACTCTTAAGACAGTGTTCATTTGGGCAGAAACAGCAATCCACGTTTCCACAGTATTGGCAAAGTAGTGCTGTCATTCTGTACCACTTCAACAGCGATCCTAGCGCTGCACATTTGTTTTTTTTATTAGCAAACATCCTAAAATGAGACCTTGTCTAGCCAGCATTTCATCGTATCCTCGCAAAGGCCAAATTACTCTGGAAGGGCAGAGGTTATGGTAGCCCGCATTTAATATATTACTCCAAGATGACTGAATGACCTGCCTGAGACCGTACACCTGCTGCCAGGTGATCTTCAACATTAATGGTCGAGCCGGGGTGGAAGGCGTCCCCCAGCCTCATCCTCTAGGCCTTAGCTCTTTCTCTCTTCGCCAGAACAGTGGCCTCCTGGTTCTAAGTAAAAGTATGTTTTCAATTTGGGTTATACTAGTATTAATGACACGCTGTAATTCACTTCCTCCCCAATCAAAGAAGCAATCATTTCTTCATATTTTTATTATGTAAGGATAGAGAGTTTTACCAAGCGATGACCTTAATGACCATCTTCTTTCCTGCTTGCTTTCACAGACCAGTGACCTTTTCTATTTCCTAGTGAGCAAACTTCATGAGTACCTGCCAGAGTCTAGGGATAAGAATGCGCTTCAAAATAAAAGCCGAAGGGCTGATGAACTGGTGTAAGTACTAACTGGATAATCAGAGATCTTTTTTCCCCTCGGGTGCTAAAGATAAACGGAAGGCACTGGACAAAATATATACTGTACTAGTGATGAATGGTGCCGCAAGTTTTGCTTCACGTGGATTTTTAAAAATAACATACAATTTGTTCTAATTTTTAAAGAAAGACTACACAAGAAACTAGTAATATTGGGTGTCCCAAAGGGGTAAAAATGGGTGTCTAAAGGAAAGACACCTTTAACTGTTGTCCCTTTTTTACCTTTGAAATTTCAAGCCAAATATTACCTACTTGAAATAGTTTAAATAATTAAAAATAATTTAAAAAGAAAGTAGTGTGTGATTATTGTTAAAACTTTAGAAAAAAATATAAGTAGAGAAAACAATATGAAAATGACTTTTAATCCAGACATCTAGCAATTCATTCATTCATTCAAGAAATATTTTTGAGTGCTCACTATGTAGCCGTCACAGGGTAGGCACTCAACCAACGGTGGCAATTTGATATACAGAATATCCTTCCTGCACTTTTTTTCTACATGGATATCTGAGTGCAGTTCTATCAAGGATTATGGATTTTGTCGAATTCTGAGCTGGTAATGAAATTGTGCCATTTCTGTGCTTTTTTTCTCTGTTTTCTAGGGCATGCATTGAAATTGTACAGACTCTGGGACTGATGTTCAGAGAAACAGAAACTGAGTCATCGCGCCTGAACACGTTGGCAGCTAAGGAGTAAGGTCTTTAGAAGACTGAGGCCTTGTGTTTGCAACCCATTAACTACTCTGTTGAGTGTCTTCCAAACTCACAACTCTCACCTCTCTGTTCAGTCCCATGAACATCTGTTAGACTCTTGTCTCTCACTTCTTCCTGTCATGAGCAGATTAATTGGCGTGTACTGAGTTCTCTCTGTCTCTCTGCATTATTAAGGGCACAGAGATTTTGTTAGCATAATTTTATTTTTTGTCATTGTTCGGTGAACTTGAAAAAGACCAAATGACTCACCATACATTGAAAACCAGGGAGTCCTTACCAGAATTTTCCAGAGTACCCTTATATCCACGTAACAGCAAAATGACATTGCAAAGGCAGGAGTTACAGTAGCTTCTTTTAATATGTAACTGTGTGACCTTGGAGTGAATGATGAAGGGTTTATTAACATATAGGGTAAGCTGCCATCCTAACGATACTCTAAAGTATGTGGCCCCTTCTCACCTAACTGTCCAGAGGAAATAGTCGAGCTTTCCTCCACCACATCAGCCAGAGACCTGGGTTCCTTCCCTTTTCCTGCTCTGCCATCTTTCCTCAGGCTTTCTCTGTCCTCCTGGTTGAAGCTGACTGACCTTTCTGCCTTCGTTACACCCTCTGGGAAGCAGGTAATAGCGGGCAGACACATTTCCTTTTTCAGCAAGGCACAGAAGACTGCCATCCACGTTCTGTCGGTGAGAACTTGAGGCATATGGCCATTTCCAGCTGCAAGAGGGGCTGCAAAGCGTGTCTGTAGTTGGACAGCTATGTGCCTAGCTAAACTTTAGATGGCAATGGGGACATCTGTTATTTAAAGGAAGAATGGAAGAATGTATAGTGAGGGACAATAGCACTCTTTGCCACGGAAAGTAAGTGTTTGCGTATTATCTGCTTGACCTTTTCATGTGATTTATAGACTATGAATTAAATCTTTGGGCAATGTTCTGGCTAAAGATCTTAATTTTTTCCGCTCTCATCAATTGTTTATCTAAATTCCCTATATTAGAAAGTAGAAGGAGGATGAGAGCTATGGACTCGAAAACGTTTGAACCAGAGGGAAGGATAAGAACCTTTGGTAATATTTGTCCAGGCTATTTATCAGAGACCTTTACAAATAAATTTCAGTGATAATATTCACTAACATTTCTTAAGCAACTTCCTATGTGCCAGGGACTGTGGGCATACTGGACATTATAGCAGGAGTGGTCGAATATTTCTGTAAAGGGCCTTACGGTAAAGATTTTTGGCTTTTCAAACCATACAGTCTCTGTTGAAACTACAAAAGCGCAAAAGCAGCCATAGACGATACATAAATGAATGGGCACAGCTGTGAGCCGATAACGCTTTATTTACAAATGCAGGCTCTGGGCTGTCTGGCCTGCAGGCCATAGTTTGTTGAGCCCTGCTTACAGCAAACAAGGAAAATACACTCTGTTCCTTTCTCTGCATACTTCCTTATGCAGTTGATCATACTGCCATTTCCTCAATCCCCAAGATGGAGATTCAAGATTATTTCTGATATTTCTGTCTTCTCCCATGCTGAAATTATGGCTAAATCGTGTTGCCCCCTTTTTGGTCTCTACATTTCTCTATCCGAAGTTGGAAAAAATCACTTATTAATCTCTGTTGTAAAGTGTTGTGTTTTAATTGTTGTCTTAACTTGGTTTGGCCACGTCAGCCCTTCTGTATCACGCCTCTTTCCTGATATGACTAATTCTTTTCCTGTCCTTCGATATATATATTATATTGCTATAGAAGAGTCTGGCTGTAATCCTAACTTTTCAGTCAATTTTGATACGCACAGCGTCGAATCAAGTTGCCCATGGCATTAACCAGCACCGTAAATGTCTAAGGTAACTGTATTAGTCTTCTACTGCCCTGTAACAAATTACCACAAACTCAGTGGCTTAAAACAGCATACATTTACCATCTCACAGTTCCTGTGGATCAGGAAATCTGGGCAGTTTAGAGGAACCCTCTGTGCAGGGTCTCACAGGGCTGCAGTCTCATCTGAGGCTTGAGCCCTCTTCCAGGCTCATCTGGGTGACTGGTGGCAGAATTGATTTCCTTACAACTGTGAAATTGATGACAGCTTGCTTCTTGGCGGGAGAATCTCTCTGAGCTCAGGGAAGGCCTAAACTCTCTTTTAAAGGGCTCACCTGATTATATCAGGCCCACCCAGGATGACCTTCCTTTGATTAACTCATGTCAACTAATTAGGGTCCTTAATTACATTTGCAAAATCCCTTCACCTTTCTCATCTAACATAATATAATCACCAGAGTGAGAGCCTAACATATTCACAGGTGCTGCCCATACTTAAGGGGAAGGGATTATATAGGATGTACATACCAGGGAGCAGAAATCTTGGAAGCCATATTAGAATTCTGCCTACCACAAATAACATAGATTGACTTTGAGACTATGAGTTTATCCTTCAAAGTCTGTATTTTAAGATATTATAATACCTTAAGAATTCTTACATTGGAAATAATAACAATCTAAATGAAAGTTATCAAACCATTGGCACCATTTTTAAAGCTGTCGTGTCAATCCTATAATAAGTCTTTATTTTCAGGATGAAACTACTGTTTAGATTAAAATTCCTTTCATCTCTTATTGGCCTAGTGGATTTTAAATTGAGTTGGCAGAAGGGGTAGATTTCAAATTAAATTCTGCTTGAGCAAATAAGAAAGCATTTATTCATTTCAGTATCTTCCTGTTTATTTTTTTCATAAGTGGAGATTTTATTAGTTCAACCCACTTCATTGTATTCTTCTTGAAATGTGCCATAATCCTTTCATATTTCAGTATTATTATGGTTGAATTCATATATTATCACAGCAAGTGACCCAGAATTTGGGAGTTCCTTCTCTTAGCCTAGAATGTGCGATACTTTGAAAAGAAGCTGTTGCTGAAAATAAAGGACTAGAATTAAATATAGCAGTGAATGGAATGTCAACTCAAAGTTAATATCAGGAAAAGCTTCTAAATGGAATGTTTTGTTGATTTAGGAAGGGTCTTCTAAAACTAAGATTGGACATTTTAAAACAACCTGAATAAAACATTAGCGAATATCCTGTAGGACGTAGCCTGCTTTTTTGAGAAATGTGCTAACTGACACGATTCTTCTTCTCTTGTAGATATGAGAACTAGACTTGTTTTTGAGTTGGAGAAAGGACGGGGACTTTATTTTTATTAGAATTTTGGTTAACCATGAACTTATAATCATGGTAATGATTTAAATGATTGTAAAAAGATTACGAAGCCGACAATGTTACTGAACAAGGATTGTTTATAGTCTCCTTTATTCCATCAGGAAAGGAATGCTTATGGCTATAGAGAATTTTGTACGGTCCTGTCTGTAAATTCTTTTTCTACTTTTACCATCGAAGCTACCCTGATACTGTCTTCCATTAGGCAACTGATGTTTCTCGTGGTCTGCCTTCAGCTCCCCTTCCCCCACACATGTGTTGTACTACACATCTGAAGATGGTGTTACTAACCCCGCTCCTCAGGATGCTCACTTTGAATCATGATTTTTTTTTTTCCTTTTTATTTTCAAATAATGCGGTACATTATTCAAACCTAGTAACATTTAAGTGAGTTCTTAGTGTACGTTAGTGGACAGTACACTGCATTTGAAGGCAAAAGACCTGAGGTTTAATACTAGTTTTATTAACTAGTCGCTAGTGGTCTTCGGTGGAATAGTAAACCTCTGAAATGCTTTGTTTAAAAAAGGGTTCTAGAGTCAAAAAACTTGTGATCAAATGAGCATTTTAAGAAATGCTTCATACCGTTTCTCTGTCCTGGACATGCACAGAGCACCTCTGAGAAGTCCGACAGCAGCCAGCCAATGAACGTGGCATAACCAGGTAGTTCCCATACCTCCTTGGCCCACAGAATCTATTTTGACTATAATATTTCTTGGAATTAGTAATCCATAAAAAGCCCTTTGGAAAATAGTGCTCTAATTGAAATCACCCAAACTTCCCTTAAATCCGGATTTTTCCAAGCTATATGAACTTCCAGAACTATAGTTGCTCTGAGCTAAAAGACCAAGAAATTATATTTGCACTTAACTGTCTTATCACTAGACATTTGTTTGCATGTCCAAGGATCCAAAAGTTCAGCCAAGAGTGGTCTGCAATGCTTCTTACTTTTAATTATATTCAGTGTTCACAAACTTGGCTTCACTGCTTTTCTTTTCAAACTTTACTCATTAATTGCCTTTTATTTACTTTTTCAGGGGAACACTATTTAATCTCTTGGTGATTTTAATTAGTGAGCCTCAGATTCCAAAATCTTGTCCTGTGTTTGATATCCAGTTGGTGGCCGATTCAACTTTAGCTGAGATGTCTTTTGATGCTGAGGTGAGATGAGAATTTGGGGATAGACAAAATATAATATAGAGCGGTCCTGGCTTCTTGTCTCCTAATGTGATATTGTCGAATATAGGAATATAATTAAATCAAGGACTAAATATTTTGTCATTAACCTCAAAACTTAGCTATTTTGTCAGTATTAATATATCCATTTTCTATGTTTTAGGGCATGTGTACTAAGGAAAGTAATTAGTATTCTGTGTATATTAGAGAAATCTGTTTGTCTCTATACAAATATTTCTGTATATGTAATTCCACAGTAGAGTCTAATGGGTAAAAAAGCACCATCTTAGAGATTGTAGGGTTAATTCTCCTGCCTCAGTTTACCGTCTCCTTACATATCTCAGTAGTGCAAACTCAGTGAGAGTTACTTTTCTTATAAGGTTTCACTAAAACATTAGAAATATCAAACTGCCTGGAAAGCACTTATTCTGAAAGAATAAATCAGCTTATTATTAGTTTATTTTGAGCAGACCAACACATAATTTTTTTTTAAAGGATGGGACATGATTTGATAGTTGTTAAATATCTAATCAGAGTTATGTTTTAGAAAACTCTTTTTTTTATAAAGATTTTATTTTTCCTTTTCTCCCAAAGCCCCCCGGTACATAGTTGTATATATTTTTAGTTGTGGGTCCTTCTAGTTGTGGCATGTGGGACGCCACCTTGGCATGGCTTGATGAGCGGTGCCATGTCCATGCCAGGATTCAAACTGGCAAAACCCTGGGCCACCGAAGCAGAGCATGCGAACTTAATCACTCGGCCACGGGGCCGGCCCCTAAAAAACTCTTAAATTCACTCATTCAGTCAATAAATATTTATTGAGAATCTATTATGAGGTAAACAGTGTGCTGGCAGTGGGGGCCAAACAAGAAGCAAAATAGACCCAATCTCTGCCCTCATTAGTTTATAGAGTGCTTGAGAGACAGCTGTCACTCAAATCTAACACGAGTATATGATTACAGACTGTATATGGAGCATCGACGGTACCACTTTCAACAGTGGAGCGAGTGGATTCGGGATTAGAGAGTGAGATGGAAGCAAGACTCAGATAGGCAGAGCTGTTAAGAAGCTAGTGCAATGGTCCAGCTGAGGGATGCTATGGGCCAGAAGGAAGCTTCCTTGACCCCCAAACAAGACTAAGCTGTCTTTCAGAGCCCTCCTAACTTCCCCGTAGTTTTCTTTTAAGGCCTTGTCTCAGTTTGCAACTACGCATTTATTTATTTGATTGTTAGATTGACGTCTGTTCCCCGCTAGCCTGTATATTCCACAAGGGCAGGGCCCATGGCCCTGTTGCTCTCCATTGTATCCCCAACACCCAGTACAGTGTCCGATGCATATTTGTTCAATAAGTACATGAAGAAAAGAAAAAGGATGGTAGTTGTAAAGAGGACAGCTTCCAGAAGTTTTTAGGAAATTGAGTTGATAGGTTGATGTGCAAATAAAAGTGTGAAGATTAGATGACTTTCAGATTCTGGCCTGGGTGTCAGATGAGAATTACAGCGAGAAGGGTGGGTTCAAAGGGGGAATAACAGGCTTGGTTTGGATTAGTTGATTTGATTTGCCTGTGGTAGTTCATATGAAAATATCTAGTGGGCAGAATAGACAGATCTGAATTCCCTGGTTTGGGATTTGCTGATCTTTTGCACCTGGGCTGTTAGTGTGGCCATGAGCAGGTCATATAAATTTCATTCCACAGTCTAATAGAGTGGGAGATGTCAAACTAGTGCTCTTCCTTGCAAAGAATACTGTCAGGGAAAATGTGTTGGCCTGAAGCATGCCCACAGACACTTCTCAGGCACCAAGTAGCCATGGGCTAGAAGACAGCCTCACCAACTGTTTGGAGCTCTTGAGAGCAAAAAAAAAGTCTGTAAGCCATATATACCCATACCACAGAAGGAGTTCTAGTTGAAGTTGGGCATAAGCCTAAATTTTCCAGAGAATCTCCCACCTTAATTCTGGGGAGCACATTTCTGCATTCTTGAAAGAAAGTAGGGTTGTTGATCTGAATGATTTTGCAAATCAATGTGCAGTCTTTTTGTGTTAGTATTCTGTGGGTCATTGTATCTTCTTTCCTTGACCCACTTTCTTAGCCATTATTAAACATGTAGTCTTTTTATGAGAGCTGCTTTGTTTGAGAGATGCTAAACCAAATGGAACAGGAAAACTGACCACAGTAATTATATTTTCAGTTAATCAAAAATTCTTTTATAAGTACCGAAAGGGAACCAGGAGAAAGTACCAGTTTCTGGCTCTGCCAATGATACTGCATTGATTATTATTTAAAATTCTAGTTGCAGAAGCTCATCCTGGAGTACACAGACACGGCTACAGCACTTTTATACGAGATACTTCTTGTCTTTCAGCAGGTACAACAGATATTTTATTATACATATTATATTGTGTGATTATTATATACATCATGTGACTTCTAGATGATACATGTACAGTATATGATTAATAATACACCTTTTTTAAAATGCCCCTATTAGAGATGGTCTCCGACACTGGCTGACTTCACTGATGCTACATTTGCTTTTAAGTGCTCATCCAGCTTATTTTCCTAGATGCTGCTTTTAAAGATTTGATTAATCCAGATAAAATATATTTGAGAATGAGTATCCTTTTAGGTACAACTTGACCTTCATGACTATAACTCGTTTATTTACTTGGGTCTCTTAGGGAAATCTTGGATTGGGATCCACAAAGTTTGCTGTGAGCTGGCTGATGTCCTTCCTGCAAAGTCGTGCTCCCATAGTAAGTACCTAGAAGCAAGAACAAAACCCCCACTCAAGGCTAATTAAACAGATGCTCTTGTGCTTAATTAATATAACGCAGATTTTGTCCATAAGTAGTCAGGTTTATAAAACAGAAGCAAAATGTAAATTTGATTATTTTGTTATTTAATTAAAATAAAATGTTTTTATGTTTGGGGCCTGAATGTTTAAGGTACTGAAATGACATCTTAAATGTGATCTTTATTTCATGAAAAACCCTAAGATATATGTAGGAAACAGAATATTAAAATATTGGATGTATAATTAAGTGAAAAAAATGACCCTGTATCTGAAACAGTGAGTTTGGGTTGGTGAGTATGAACATGACACTTAGGATCACCTGGACGCTGTGACCTGGCAGCCACCCTCCTGGTCCATGGATCACCATCTCTCTGCTTGACACCACAATTTCATCTCCCTGGTCTGTCCCTGTCTTCCCCCCAGACTACAGTCAGAGGGATCTATTCAAACTTTAAATCTGGTTCTGTCATCCCTTGCTTTAAATCTCTCATAATGAGTAAAGACTAAACTCCGTATATGGCCCACAAGGCTGTGCGTGTTACGGCCCCCCAGTTTCCTCTAGTCCCTCACTCTCCCAGCTGTGAGGGTCTCTTACTCACTGCCCATCTCCGACACCCCCTCTCCTCTCGGGACCTAGACGGTTGCCTCTGTCTGTCTGTAATGCGTTTCCCTCCCTTTTCCACCTGGTTAGCTCCTCCTCATCCTTCGGGCCTCAGTGCCGCCTCCTCTGACTAGGTCAGACCCCCCGTTTGAGGCACACATAACCATAGCGTGGCGTCTTCCTCCTTTCCTTCGTAGGGCTTGTCGCTGTGCAGTTTACTTTTGGTCCTTCCCTGTGGTAGCCATTGGTGCCCACACGTATCCTGGCTCTCTCTCCTTCCAGGCACATGGTAGGATTGTACCTCCCTCCCCGCTTGAAGTTTGGTGGGTCTCTGTTCTTGCTTTGGCCAAGGGCCTGTGAGCAGAAGTCGCCTTGCCACAGGGTTCAGGAGCCACTGCATGCTTCCCTGCATTCCCTTTTCCTTCTGGCCTGTGACTGGGGACATTCCATATGGTCCTGAGTGACTACAATGAGCAGAACCCCCTACCGACCCATAAGGGACACGCAGTGTGGGCAAGTCATAAACCTGTGCTGTTTTAAGCAAAGCACTGATATTTTGTGAGGTTTGTTACCACAGCATAACCTTGTCTATCACGACTCACAGAATGTCTTTCTCCCCCAACGGACTCCAAGTGCCATGAGGGTAGGAGCTGTCTGTTGTGCTAGACACATAACAGATATTCAGTAAAATACCTGCTGAATTAATTCTAATAAAGGCCTCATCCTTTAATCTCTTCTCATCTCCCCAAACGTAGTCTCCCTTTATTCATTCATGTAGTCGTACATTCAATCCACATACATTTAATTGGAAATCTCTTCAAAAAGTAGTAATCCAAACTAAATTTTCCTTGCTAATGGAGGCTCCGCCATGAGGTAATACGTTCTCTTTCCATGTAGAAACGTGCCCCCAGTGACATCAGCAGTTCCCTGCTTTGAGCTGTTTTTCTAGAGTGATGTCGAGCTTGTCCTAGGGAATCCAGATCCTCTTGCCAGGCTTATGTTCACAAAAACCTAGCTGGGGCCTGAGGGTACACTTTTCAGTAGTATAGCCAACTGCCTTATGCAGAGATCGAGCCCATGAACTTGGCTGCTTTAGCAGCACACGGACCCTCACCAGACTCAGGCCCACTTCAAGGAGTGACATACGTTACAGTCATCACAGCAACAGAAACTCGTATGTCCAAGAGGCCAGACTCTGCCTTTTTCTGTGGGGTGGTGGCAGACCCCCGTCATCTCAACCAGTGTGTGAGATCTGGGGTCCTAAGGACTCCAAGCAACAGGCACGTTTCTTCCTCAACCTCTAGGGTTGGTTCACCAAAGGAAGTGAGCTGAGTATGAGGCCAGCCTGTGACCACAAACCATGTCAGGATGAAGAGTGGGAAAAGGACCTCTGACTGTTGAGAGCTTCAACATTAGCCCAGTTCTAAAGAGTTTGGGTAGAAACAGAGTATTTGAGAGACATTTCAGGCAAGGAAACTGTTGGGATCATTGATGACACCTGCATGTCAGTCGGCTCTGGCTGATTTTCTTACTTGGTCAGAGCAAGATGCTAAAGAAATTTAAAATTTAATGCCTAAATGGGCATTGTTTTGTTCCATTGCTGCAGACTCTCTACCCTCAGTCTGTGTTTGCCTGATGCAATATTTAGTCAATATGTGTAAATGGATTTGGATTAGGAAAAACACTTCAAACCACCTGCCCTACTTAGGAAGGGCCAGTAGCAACGTCAATAGACAAGGCAACACATTGATTGATACTAATTTAATAGGTGTGCAGAGTGACCTGCTGGTTGGAGCTTGAAAGGGCGCTAGCATTCCTTCTTGATTTTTATAGTGGCTTCTATCTATGGATAGTAGTTTGAAAATGCAACCCCTCTCCGCGAAAAAAAGATTTATGGAATCCATTGTTCATATTTTTTATTTAGTTCTGTTGTGAATGCCAGCTTTTTGTGTGTGTGTGAAGCAGGAACCCAATAACTTCACGTTATTGCTACTTTTTTCCATTTTAATTTCCCCCTGAGAAATGACAGAAGTGCTCTTGACGAAAAGTCCAGCTAACAGTGACATCAGCATTACTTGCGGGGCAGGCCCTGTGGCCGAGTGGTTAAGTTCGCGTGCTCTGCTGCGGCGGCCCAGGGTTTTGCCAGTTCGGATCCTGGGTGCGGACAGCGCACGGCTTGTCAGGCCACGTTGAGGCAGTGTCCCACATGCCACAGCTAGAAGGACCTGCACCTAAGATAAACAACTGTGTACGGGGGTGGAGGTGGGGAAGTTGGGGAGATAAAGCAGAAAAAAAAAAAAAGATTGGCAACAGTTGTTAGCTCAGGTGCCAATCTTTAAAAAAAATTAAAAATTAAAAAACCCCAAAACCAAAAAAACACGTTACTTGCTTGTGTCAAGCCTGGTTTTCTTTGCTTTCTCACTTAGTGTTCTCAAGGTGTGGTCCAGGGAACGAATCCATCAGAATTGCTTATGGTAGATCCCTGGAGATGGGCCCAGGATTCTGCATGTTGAGTGAGCGGCCTAGGTGCCTTCTATGCATACTAACGTGTGAGAACCACTGCCTTGTAGGAACCTTCTTTGAAAGGTCACGGGCAGTTGCTGTCTGTGGGCCATTTGTTCTTCACAGTAGAACAGAGGAGAAACCATCTTCCCTCCTGGAGGAGGCATAGACCTTTCTGAGCCCCCCACTATCCTCACTCCTGCTTGCAATGTTCTCCTTCCGCTTTGGAGCCGAGCTTCCTTGACAGTCAGTCCTTGTTCTGATTTTCCTTGTAGGGGGGCAGTTGGCAAACCTAGTTGGTCTATGGTCTGGTGCTCTGAGTCCCATTTCAATGAGAAATAGTGCGAGGGCAGAGTGTGAGGGGTGCTGGGGCCCAGCCTGGACTCACAGCGGAGGCTCCAACTGGAGCAGGTGCGGCCCCCACGTAACTGCGTTTTCCTCGTCTAGATGACTTTCGTGGCCAGTGTTGTGAAACAAGTGGTGAAGGGGCTTTCCGCTTCGCTCCCGCTGCTGAGTCCTGGCCAGGCAGTTCTGTTGTACCAGCAGCTCTGCATCCTCAGGAGCTGCCTGCAGTACAGCAAGACTTTAGCCGAGTATATTAGGAATGACTACAGAGAAGAATTCCGGTAAGAAAAAGTCTGAATCTAATCTTCACTAAAACCCACCCATTTCTGATTTTCATGCAACACGGCCCCATACTTAGGAGATTAAGTGACGATGGGAAATTCTACTTTTGTTTTTAATAATGTTTCACTTTGATCTGCAGTCAAGTAGGATTTGGGGGAGCCCTAAGAACCACTGCCATTTGGAGTATATTCCCAGGCCAGAAAAGCCAGTGAAGCATCAAGCTATCCGTGAAGAATTGCTTCTCACTCACGTCTCTATGGCAGCCAGCATCTCACAGAAACAGTCATGACTTTAACATGCTGTAACAAACCCTACCGAAGGAAAGGGTAAATTATGGATTGTGAATTCAACCGAGTCATTGAAAAAAACCCAATGTTTCTCCTCTAAAGGAGAAACAATTAATGAATGCAGTTACTAGTTTTTTGGTTTCATTTATCCTCTCTTACTCAGTAATAAAACAGTAAGAAAAGAGCAGCAGCAAGCGCTGGTTTCATCAGCCGGCTTGTTCCACACCTCAGGGGCTCTCCTGTTTACAGGCAGAGCCAAGCGCACTTAGCGGTACAGCCCTGCATTTGCACCTGTCAAGGAAAAACCCCAGGTTGTGTCTGACTCAAGATGAGAAGGCTGCAGCAGGCATAGCTTTGCCCCCCGTTGGGATGGAGACACAAAAGGATGTGGGGGCATACGTCATGGCCTTGGCTTGGCTTTTACAAAATTGTAGCCCAATTTGTGGACCCTGTTTTTCTTCCTTGGGGTTTTACACCGTAGGTTCCATTCTGGCACCTATAAAAGGATTTTGGGGGCCGGCCTGGTGGCGCAGAAGTTAAGTATGCACGTTCTGCTTTGGCAGCCTGGGGTTCACTGGTTCCAACCATCCCGGGTGCAGACATGGCACCACTTGGCAAGCCATGCTGTGGTCGGCGTCCCACATATAAAGTAGAGGAAGATGGGCACGAATGTTAGCTCAGGGCCAGTCTTCCTCAGCAAAAAGAAGGGGATTGGCAACAGATGTTAGCTCAGGGCTAATCTTGCTCAAAAAAAAAAAAAAAAGGATTTTGTTTGGCCCACACAACCCAATCTTTCCCTCCCTTTTTTTTTTAAGGTAAAATTCATACAAGTGTGAAATTCACCATTTTAAACAATTAAAAAGTGCAATTCACTGGTTTTTATACATTTCACAATGTTGTGCAACCATCCACACTCTCATTGCAGAATGTTTTCATCACCCCTAAAGAAACCTGGGGCCCATTAAGCGGTCACATCCCATTCTCCCCTCCCCCCAGCCCCTGGAACCACTCATCTACTTTCTGTCTTTGTGGCTTCGCCTATTCTGGACATTTCCTACAATATATGGCCTTTTGTGTCTGGTTTCTTTCACGTAGCATAATGTTTTCAAGGTTTGTCCATGTTGTAGCATGTATCACAAAACCCAGTTTTAAAAAATGAGTTATGACATTTAAAAATCAGGACAACTGGCAGAAATGGTGTCACACTCCTACGTGACAGTGGCTGGCCAGGGCTCAACAGCAGCTGCCCTCTTAGGTGGATCAGGCACTGTGTAGTCTGCCACTGTCCCCTCTCTTGCCCTTCCTCCCAATATCTTACCCGTGAGCATTTAGGTTTGTGATCCTCGTTTTAAGCTAGTGATTTTCAACTTGCTGTGCATTAGAATCATCAGAGTAACTATTTAAAAATACTGATACCCACATCTCACATGCGGAAATTCTGTTCGGTTTGTCTGAGGTGGGGCCTGGGCACTGACATTTAAAGATACTCTCCAGGTGATTCTAACGTGCACCCAGGGTTGAGAACCAACCCAAGCTGACGGCTAAGGGTTTCTCACTTTTGTCTCCTCCCCTGGCCTTTCCTCTACTTTTGCTGAGGCCATGAGGATGAACGCTACTCTTCCCTCTTGACCTGGCCCTCACGGTCACCACAGCTTGATGCTTTCGGTTCACCTCCCGCTGTGTATTGCCTGAGAAAACAGGAAGCAGGGGCCTCAGCTCCTGCTGGTGAGGACAGCCCTGGCTTCCGTATTAATGCCTTGATAACCAGTACATTATTAATGAAATTCACTTCCTTTGCTGAAATAAAGTGCTCAGTGAGCCGAAAGAAACACACATCAGAGACGGTCTGGGTCCCAGTGGGAGAGGTGGGAGGGCTGAAAGCGGCCCGAGTCTGTGGCTTAGCCCTCCCCACCCAACCGCCCTCTGCCAGTGAGTGTGCACGCACTGATGTGACCAGAGTGAAAATTCTTGTTTTTAAAGCTATTTTGTTTCTTTTCATGGTTTGCAGGTACTTTATTCACATGCCAGCCTTGGAAAAAAAGCTTCCGCTGCGTTACCCTATTGCCCAACCTACTACCCAAGTTTTCCATGAAGTTCTCAAATTGGTTGAACAGAAACCATGTGTGAGATGTGAATAAGAGTGTACAATGTGAATCAGGAATCGACTGAATATTTATGGGAAACATTTTTGGGTTTATTTAGTATCTGACTATCCTTGTGTCCTATAAACAAAGATTTTATTTGAGCATTCCATGACTACCTCTCTAAGAGGAGTCTTTAAGGTTTTTTATCTGCCACAAAAAAAGAAATTTTAAATACACTGACATATATAAAGCGGTGCTAAACGCTAGTGTTTCTCTAAAAAAATAAGCTTCTAAAGACATAAAAAACTATAAAGGGAACAGAAACCCATGGAGAGCAATAAATTACAGAGTGATCGTTAGAGAAATGCTGAGCAATAGGATGCAATCCTCCTTCTCCACCTGTAAAAATCCTGGTGACGTCAGAATGCATGGAAGAATGAGCAGAAGGACACAGGCATGGCTATCGGGAAAGCCAGTTCCTTGTTTATCATGTGGAGAGAAGCTTGGACTTTCTCCAACAAAATTAAATGCCTTCTGCCACTCTGTTTCAGGCACCTGTGGGCCAATGTGAGCCATCTCGTAGAGTCTCTGTGAAAGAGAAATTGTCTGTAAGCAGTTATGGCTCTCCCAAACATTCAACAAAATGACTTCACTGTATCTTAGGGCAATAAACCAATTTAATCCAAGCAAACGTTAGCTTTGGCATCACTGTGAGCTATCGAATTTGGGCTTCTAAGAACTTAGGACCTGGGCCCTCCATTCAGCTTTATCATGACTTGAGAGGGGATCAGAGAAAAATCTACCTCCAAAGAAAGAGCTCCCCAGCCAGACCTGCCTGTGCGGGGCAGTGGAGAGAGGCTCTGGCTGAGCCACTAACCAGCTACTCGACCTCGAACAAGTCAGGTCTCCTTTCTGGGCCTCCTCTGCTATGCGGAAGGGTGGGACTGGATGGTCTCCAGGTTCTCCTCCAGCTCTAACATGCCCTGTGACGCGACACTTGTTAACGCGCTCTTGCGGGGTACCGCATTCCTCTGCCGTCCTGCTCAGTGGATGATTTCACTTGATTCCAAAGAATCCTGCTTTCTTTGGACCAAACATTTCCCTCTCAGCTGTCACCAACATCACCCCACAAAGTGTCCAAGCTTTCCCCACAGGACTACAAGGCTTCTACCCTCCAATCTGGGGGCAGAGATGGCGGCAAAATGGTGTTGATGAGTGTCCTGGGCAGTTGGATGAGGGATTATTCCCAAGAGATGGTCAATCAGAAGAAAAGGAAAAGATTCTTGGACGAAGGCAAGCAACACTTCGACATGGACGAATGATGGACAGTGGGCTGACTACTAGTGAACAGTGGGACCCACACAATGACGAAGAGAGGATCAGCTCAGCTCTGCATCAGCTTCTGAGCAGTGCCTGGCTCAGAGCCTGGAGACGGCTTGGGGTTTCTCTCCCACATGCTTTCTTGTCCACATTGCCTCTTCTCTCCCACTGTTCTCTTCACTCTGAGAGCAGACTTTATCTAATTTTCGGGAACAAAACCTCTGTCAGAACCTACCTGAGTCTTTCCATGTAGGGCTAAGTCAGTAGCTTTTTTGAAAGCTGGTCATTAAATATTTGTTATCTCGACTTTCTTATGACACATGTCTATTCATTTGCACAGTCTGGCGGGGACAGAAATTAAGACTTTGAGGAGTTGTCCTGCCACAATTCTTTCCTACTGTGTTTTTCTGCGTTGTTGCCAAAGCCAAGAAAATCACTAAATAATCCATCTCAATAAATGACCACGCGCATTTGATTGACTAAATATTGACCTCAATCACAAAATAATTATTTTTCAGGAAACCTAATTGTAGCAAAATTTTGAATATGAAAATCACATATATTGCTTTTTAAGAATACAAAGGATCACCAGAAAGGCAAGCACACATAGCCAGTTTTCAGGGTGGGTGCAAGATTCTAGGGTGAGAACAGGGGTTTTGAGGCCAAAATGGTTGAGTTTGAATCCCAGCTCTGCGCTTGGAAAGTTACTTAACATCTCTGAGCTTTAGTCAAAACCAATAGAACATAATTTCTGCCATAGGGGTGCTGGGAGACTTAGATGAAAAGGCATTCATAAAGCACAGAGCGTGGGATGTGGCATGGAGTAAGGATTCAGTACATGGTATTTATCATTATTATTACTAAATAATATCAAAGCTGGCTGAGAACTTCGAGATTAATAAATAGTGCCCTTACTTTTCTGACCAATTTGGGGACTAGCCACTATGCTGAGAGCCCTTGACCTATAGAGCATTGAAGAACAGATTCATTTGGTTATTAAACTGAAAATTCAATTTTCCATTAGCAGCAATGTGGTTTCAGTGACAAGGGACTTATTTCTACTGCTCACCACCATGAAGGGCTGTTGGCTCTAATGGACACTATCAATGCAAGTGGGAATGTTCTTCCCAGGGGTGGACAGGAAGGTTTTTAGTCATGTAGACTTTTTTAAGCCTTTGACTTAATTTGGCTAATTACTAACCGATCAAACCCATATAGCCATTCGGTACTTACCAAGTTCCTAACTGATTCACAGGTAGTGTTAGAATAAATAAATGAAGAGCTTCTTCATTTTACTGAAATCTAGACAATCTAGAGAGTACGGAAAGAGGGAAAAGCTTGAAGTTCCTGTAACTGATAAATGTATTTTACATATTTCCATATTAAATCTCACTCACTGGTAGTACCACTTTTAATAGCATATAGGAATGCTTGAGACTACCATAAGAAGTGTGCTGTAAGGCATTTGAGAAAAGTGCTCAAAGCTTGTTGACTGGTGATATGCCCTGAACTGTGGTATTATATTTTCTTCCTCTGAGGTTAGAATCACTTGTTTTATATTGTACATATTTGCAGAGTAGAGAAGTTCAGTGATAAGTATGGAAGAGAAGCTGGAAATTTCTTGAAGAAATGACTTTGACGGGAATTTTTGAGTAACCTTTAATAGTATTAACTCATGGTCTGGTTTCTCTTTATTCATTGTATTAACTTCTAAAATGCAGTGTCACCTTGTGAGGTCCACTGGGGTATGGCTTTCTACAGGCGAGGCAGGCAGCCGTTCTCCACCCAGTCAGATCAGGCTGTCTTGTGTCTGTGTATCTGTGTCTTTTGGATCTGAAGCTTGTCTCATTTGGGGGAGGCAGCATGACCCCTTGGCTAGAAATCTGGGTAGTGTAACTTTGGGGCTAAGGTTATTTAACCTCTTTCAGAACTTCCATTTTACCCATTATAAGACAATAAAAAGCCTACCTTAAGGGGTTTTGTGAATATTCATTCATTTATATATAAACAGATAGTTGTGTGGCTAGTATATACTGGGATAAACCATATGGCATTGCTATTTTCAAGTTCAAAACTGTCAATATCTGCAATTTCATATGGTTCAAACACATAAAAACCCCTCAATAAATGGTAGATTTTATTCTCATGGAAACACTAACTTGCTTAATGAACTTTCATTTTAAATGCATATCATTTATTCTAATTTCCCAGATAGTATGGCACTTTGTTATAACATGGCTTATTCTTGCACAGATTTGAATAAACCTTGAATCATATAGTTCAGTCACGAATTACTGAGTGGGTACAACATACTTACACATGTTCAAAGGGGATTTTAAATTTTTAAATTGTCTTCCAGCACTTCCCCTCCTTCGTTCACTCCACCGCTCAAAAGGGAAACTTGAGCGACCTCCGTTTTCTCCCTTCTCTTCATTTTCCAAATGCAATCCTTCAGCAGTGCTAATTGGAAATCCTTCGGAATATATCAGTAATCTACTGACTTCCCATAGTTACTGCCACCGCCCCTGTCCAGACTCCCACCGCCCACTGCAATAGCCTGTCTAGTCCTGCCTTCACCCTGGACCCCTACAATCCCTTCTCTCAGGGGAGAGTGGAGTCACCTTTTGGACAAGAAAATCAATACAGTTTATGATTTTGAAGCTTCTCCTTGCTTCTTATGACCCAGGATGGAATCCAAAGTCCTCCCCAGGCTCTCAGGGCCCTTGGCGACCTGCCTCTGACACTTCTGTGACCTAACCCAGTCATTCTCCTCACTCGCTACTCCCCAAACATGCTGGCCTTTGTGGTTTTCCTTCAAATCCCCGAGCTCTTTGCAGCCCTGGAAACCTGCATGAGCAAATGCTTTTCCCCCAGATCTTCCAGTGTCCTTCCAGGAGGGCATCTATGACCACCCCAAAGGAGCCACCTGCCCACCGACATCACCTTATAACGTGTCTGTTCACTTGCTTATTCTTTGCAATGTAAGAATTTAAGAATGTAGGTTCCATGAGCGTCTGGCCCTCGTTTATCTTGTTCACTACTATACACCAACACCTGGAATAGTACCTGGCACAGAGTGCCTCTTCTTTGTTGAGTGAAGGAACAGACTGTGGAAACGTGTAGATGGAGAACACAGAGAGGAGCACCAGCCCAGCTGTGCCTCAGAGCAAACTAGTGAGAGAGCCAGGTGAGACCTGTAAAGGACCGCGCAGCCAGTCCATAGAATTGGGAGATATAATAAAGAGTTGGTTTTTTTTTCCAGCTTTATTGAAGGAAAACTGACAAAGTTGTGAGATATTTAAAGTGTATAATGTGATGGTTTGATATTGTAGGGGAGGAGGACATTTCCTCTCCCCAAATGGGGGTTCGTCTAGCTGGAGAACGAATTAAATTCACATGAGACAGAATAGCAAGAGAAAATTAAACAAAGCTTTATGAGGAACCATGGCCCGGGGCCTTTCTTCCCAAAGGAAGAAAGGGCACCGAAGAAGTGGGGTGCACAGAGTGGTTATATAGCCCCCAAACGGGGTGTTTCACATGTGATTGAAATGTCCCTCCCACAATAGTCACAAGATTGCCCTGTTGGCACAGTGCTTGATGGACACAGCAGGTAATGGTCTGCTATCTCGGTGGGCGTAGCAGGAGGCAAGTCTATGTCCGGAGCTGGGTGGTCACAGGTGAGCGCAGCAATCAGTTCCTAGCCTAAGGAAAGATGCTTAATCCTTAAGGAATGCCAAAGCTGGGAGGGGGAGGGAAGTCAGTTACAGGAGGTTACCAGACTAGCACAATAAAATGCAGATTTTAAGTCATTGCCTTTGGTATTGATTAAGAGCTTTTAGAGAGAAGGTCATCTCCTTTCTTCTTCCTGGTACAGAGAGGGAGGCAGCTTTTACAGATAGAGATTTATCTTACAAATGTAAATGTGTCCTAAGGAAGGGCAAGTTCCATTCCTCAGAGCCTCCTTCCCTGTCCCACTTTATCAAAAGCAATCAGCCTCAAATAATCCTGATGCCAAAGAGACATATCTTGGGGTGGCCAATTCCAGGTCCCCCACAATATGCATCTACATTGTGAAAGTACTTCCACCCATTGAGTCCATCCATCCATCACCTCACATATTTACCTTTAAAAAAATTTTTTTTTTGGTGAGAACACTTAAATTCTAGTCTCTTAGCCAACTTCAATGATATAATCCAGTGTTATCAACTACAGGCACCACGTTATACATTAGCTCCTCAGACCTTACTCGTCTCATAGCTGAAAGTTTGTACCCTTGAAAGTTTGGAGAGGTACCAACCTCTCCCCATCTTCCCACCCCCTAGTCCCTGGCAACCACTTTCTACTCTCTGTTTCTATGAGCTTGACTTTTTTTAAATAAAGGGTGGTTTTAAGCCTCTCAGTTCTGGAGTGGTTTATTATGTAGCAATAGATAACCAGAACAATCAAGAACGTTTTCATTTATTTTAAATAAACTTATACGTTATATCAATGTTAGGGTAATTCCAAATTAAATAATTCACCACAATCAGGTACTCTGACCAGCCTAAGTGTTTGACCTGTCTATATGTTCTTCATTTTTTTCTACATTGTTAAAATCATATACATTTTCCCTTTTGTCACTTTAAATGAATTCAATAATATTCCACAGAGTTCTGCTCCCTTTCAATGGGATTTTTATCTGTCTACACACAGCAGGGTCCACATCGTCACTGTGCCTTGCCAGGGAGGGGCCCTAGGAATCGCACAGTGCGGTTAATAGCTGATGGTGTATGAGGTGCACCAACCAGCCCGGACCGCTGCTTCCCCCGACCCCCCCGCTTCCAGCCAGCCTGACGAGGGACTGGGGAGGGAAGGGCATTAAGCTCGGGGAGACAAGGTCTCTGGAGGTTTATTGGTTGTATACCAGACATTTCTGGCTTCTGGGTTTGGGAAAATCCTGAGTCAAAGGGTCTGCTTTTCCTTTGTCGTTGCCTTCTACTTGGAGGGTGACTTCGACCCTGGAGAACGACGAGGGGCTGTGGCTGAGGCAAGATTAACGTTAGCCCCAATATCAGAGGCTAAGAGAGGGGCAAAGAGGACCTTGACATTTCCTACTAGGTGGTCCACTCCTCCGAAGGCCCCAGGTGTGGGGTTTCAGGGCGGAAGTTGTCCCCATAAATAAAGATGTTGGATTTGATGCAAGTACTAACCTCCCCACGCCCTCCTTCTACTTCTGGTGGTGATGAGGACAGAGGAGTGGTGGGGGTGGGGTGGGGGTGGCCAGCGACTGTGGATATGATGATTTGTTTGTTTTGCCAGCAAGGAGGGAGAAGGAGGGCGTAAGATCTAGTGACACAGGGCCTCTATGGATTTTTGCAGGGTATCCCGCAATATCTGCCATTATTTATAATATTGTTTCTACAGGAAATCATTCTGTCTCCTGCACAGCTGACCTACACAAATGAATTTGGAAAGGACACATTTATGAAGGGAGTAAAGGACTTA